ATTAAAAAATGAATGGCGAAATTCGTTGGTAAATGAAACGACCGAGAACGAAATTTTAGAAATACAACTTCTGAAAAAAGTAAAACGAACAGATGTTTCTGGCGTCTGGCTAGTGCACCCGGCTCTCCAACAAGTGGTCTGTGGTGAGCATAACCATTCTTAACTTAGGACCAGTTACTCTGGCACATCTCCTCATTGGAGGAGTCAGCCACAAGGAAAGGAAGGAAGGAAGGACCAGTTACTGGCACATGTCCCCCATTGGGGATACAGCCATAAGGAAAGGAAGGAAGGAAGGAAGGAAGGACCAGTTACTGGCACATGTCCCCCATTGGGGATACAGCCATAAGGAAAGGAAGGAAGGAAGGAAGGAAGGACCAGTTACTGGCACATGTCCCCCATTGGGGATACAGCCATAAGGAAAGGAAGGAAGGAAGGAAGGAAGGACCAGTTACTGGCACATGTCCCCCATTGGGGATACAGCTATAAGGAAAGGAAGGAAGGAACCATTCTTAACCTAACGTACAAGATTACCGAAACGTTGTCGAAATGCAAGTTTCCAACCCGAATAATGTCAAAATCTATAATTTAAGTGCTGGAAAATCACTGCCAGAGGTAACCTTCATATTATTAAGTGAACTGTATTTAGTTAGACTGCTTAACATAATTTAGAAAATTGTATTTTTAAATAATTGTTTTCATTATTTTTAGTGGTTGTCTGAAAGAAAGCGCCGAAGTTTATTAAAGAAAAATGTTGGTATGTTAAATAGGTTTTATTAATTTTCTGATTCTATTTATATTTATTAATGTAAATTGTTTTGTCAGATATACGAAGGCGGATTGAGTTGATACAAGATTTTGATATGCCTGGTGTCAGTACATCTATAAGGGTATCTAAGGATGGGCAATATATTCTAGCTACAGGAATTTACAAACCAAGAGTGAAATGTTTTGATGTGAATAATTTATCGTTAAAATTTGAAAGGTGTTTTGATTCTGAAGTGGTTACATTTGAAGTACTGTCAGACGACTATAGTAAGGTATATAATACACTATTGCGTCATATTGTTTATTATATCCTACATTAATTTAATATACAGGGCTAGTTAATACAATCGCACTAGTTAAAGTATGAAACTGATACATGATACTTATAGTAAAGCCAATAAGTGAACCAAAGTGATGCATTTGATTGACTGTTCATATTATTTTATATAGTAAATTCAAATACCATTTTTCTATTTCAGTTGGTATTTTTACATTGTGACAGACATGTAGAATTTCATGCGGCACATGGCAAATATTACAGACTTAGAATACCAAGATTTGGTAGAGACATGCAATACCACTATCCATCCTGTGATTTATTTATTGTTGGTGTTAGGTAAAATCAATAAAATAATTATAACTTTCAACAAAGTTTACATCTTCAGCTTTACAGCTTTTCTTCTTGCTTTCAGCAATGAAATATACAGATTGAATCTTGAAAGAGGTCAGTTTTTGCAACCATTTTTGTCAGAGGCAACAGCAATAAATAAATGTTCAATAAATCCACTTCACCATTTATTGATGGTTGGTACTCAAGAAGGAAAGGTAGAAGCATGGGATCCAAGAGTAAGAAACAAAGTTGGTAATCTCGACTGTGCTTTCCATTGTGTTACACATGACAGCAAGTGAGTAAAAAACATTCAACTATTCATAGAAACTATATACTTCATTAATATGTCATTACATTAATACTTTTCAGATTGGAATCCATTCCTTCTATCACTGCTCTGAATTTTAATGGAGGTTTAACATTAGGTATTGGCACTGCTACAGGCCAAGTACTTTTGTACGATATTAGATCTAGTAAACCGTTAGTAGTAAAAGATCATATGTATGGATTACCTATTAGAAATATCGATTTCCACGAACGCATGGATCTTGTATATTCCATGGACAGTTCTATAGTAAAAATCTGGGAAAAGGATTCTGTAAGTAAATATTTTTTTCCTTAATCATCATTATATATCAATGTATTTATTTCACTGTGGAATTACAGGGTAAATTATATACGTCAATAGAAGCTCAATCAGATTTCAATGATCTTTGTGTGATTCCAAAGACGGGAATGCTTTTTATAGCTAATGAAAATACAAAAATGCAAACGTACTATATACCCAGTCTTGGTCCAGCACCATTCTGGTGCAGTTTCTTAGACAATCTTACAGAAGAACTTGAAGAGATGAACTTTGAGACAATCTATGACGATTACAAATTTATCACTGAAAAGGAGTTGGATGAAATGGGTCTTAGCCATTTGAAAGGCACTAGCTTACTGAGGGCTTACATGCATGGCTATTTTATAGACGTTCGGTTATACAGAAAAGCCAAGGCTGCAATACAACCATTTGCATTCGACGAATACAAGAAGAAGAAGATTAGGCAAAAGATTGAAGAAGAACGCGCCAGTAGAATTCAAGTAATTTTTTATTTCTTGACTAATTATTTTATCACCTATTATATAATGCATTGTGTTAATTCCCTTCCCTTGCTTTGTGTATTCCAGGTGCAGCAATTACCGAAAGTCAACAAAGAATTAGCACTCAAATTAATGGACAGCGAGACGAATGAAAAGTTTAAGAAGAAGAAATCTGCTGCTAGTATTCTTAAGGACAATCGCTTCAAGGCTCTATTCGATAATCCAGACTTTGAAGTTGACAAGACATCAGCAGAATATACGTTGCTAAATCCTGTTATATCACAGCTGGATAAGAGCAAAGCTAAAGAAATGACGAAAAAGCTGAAGCACCAAGAACAGCTTCAATCCATTCAGGACGAAGCGGACGATGAACATAAAGAAGAACATGATTCGATTTTGGGTGATAGTAGCTCAGATGACAGTGGTTCATCGGACGATGAGAAGACATGGTCCAAGGAAGTTCAAAAGAGATACAGACTCCTTAAAAGAAATGAGAAGCGACAGAGAATGGAGGAAGAAGATGAAGGTCAGAACAGTGAAGAGAAGAACGAAAACAGACAACCAAAGTTCTACGAACTAAAAGATGGTTTGGACTTCAGGGGAAGAAAGACTATAAGGAAAAGACAGGATAAGTTAGTTCTTGAAAAATATGTTTCTATTGAAATTGGCATATGGTAACAAAAATGATAATCAAAAATATATATTTTTAGAACGAGTCTTGGGGACAGATTACACGATGAGGAAACTACAAAAGTAATTGTGACAGGGTCACGCGGTAATAGAGAAATGACATTCAGTACTGGAAAGGTGAATTACCGATACCTGATTTTGTCGTTGATTTTCTATTACTAAACCTCATTTGTTAAATCTTTAATGTTATAATGTGGAATATTTTAATTTTTTTAGAGTAAATTTTCCGGGAAATCGAAGGACAGTGGAAACAGGCACAGAAAGGAGCACAAGCGTTTTTTACGTCCAGCAGGAAATCTTGGCAGGAAGAAATTCTAATGGAAAAAGAAGGCATATGTACAAAAAATTGAAAAGAGTATAAGTTATAAGCATAAATATAACATTGTTAAAATAAACGTGAATAAAGCAGACTTTTTAATAAGATATACTGTACTTTTCTATATTGTATTTACCTATGCATTTCTTTTAAGTATCAACAATCGTCGGATTTGTGCTGTCTCGCATCCATATGATACAATGTATATGTTTAGAACTCACACAAGTTTTATCGCACACCAAAGGTGAAGTGTCATCACGAAAATGTGATTATTATTATTACAAATCCCACTTTATTGGTGGTTAAAAAATTGTAACGTACAACGACTTTCCACGGGTGATCTGAATTACCGCTCTCGAAAAGACTCACTAGTGCTTTCTCTCCGCAGCGATACTGAAATGCCCACAGTGAGTATTTATATTTTTTTTTCATATCAATTGCTTGATTGTCGCAAACGCCAAAAAACAAGGAATACGAAAAAAAGCATTGACCAAAAATCATTAAGCAGTAAATACAATTAATTAAATCCATAAGTATATACAAAACAAAACAAAAGCACAACTACATATATTTGAAGCCCGCTAATCACTTATCTTGACCTGCAATTAGTAAATTTCAACTACATTTTATTGGTATCATTTAAATACGACGAGAGTGTCTTTGGAAACTGCTGTCACAATAAAAAAAATTGTTTTGCACTTATCCTTACTCAACTTATATTGTGTATTTCACTTGGTCGTAGGATACTAACGCGATTGTTTCGTTTTAATAATTACACGGTTAGCGAGTTTAATTAATTAAATTATTTGCCCGCCCCGTTATTTAATATTATGGGGAACACCAACCGGAAATATCTCGTGTCAGAAGTAGGCCCTTAAATAATATTTATACAATAGCAATCGAATAAAGCCACTATTCTGTTTCAGGCTAGTCAGAATTCTAATGAGTCAATGAACAGCAAGGATCATTCAGATCAACAGCAAAAGCATGAGGAATCATTGCACTCATCTACACCGTCGGTTCTCTCAGAATTACATATGCAGAGTACAGAAGTGAGTAAGAAATGATGTTTATATGGTATGAAGGCATTAAACAACATACAGATTTTTGGAAAGTAGATCGGCGAGATCACCGAAGTACCAGATTACGATAATCTCAGTATCTCGGCAGTTTTGCATTACTGTAAATACAAGATTTTAAGGCCCTATCTGAGATTGCTTGGAGTGATGGGTCTAAGACCAACAAGTGGTGAAGAAACGGAGCATCATTCACGCTACTGTTTGCTGGCGAATTTACATACATTTCAAGTCATTGTTTTTATGTGTATTGGATATGTGCTACAATATATGGCATGTTTTAGGTGAGTTTTAGCATAAAATAATGTGCACAATGTACTCTGAATAGTACAATTTACTCTAAAAGCAATAATTTCTTAAAACGTAAATGTATAATAAGTATAGATACAGGTATTACGATTTTAAACACTATATTCATTATAGAGTATCTGCACAACCGGCTAATCACAGAACACAAACAGTGGTCACGCAGATTTTTATTAATTGAAATTTTGTACAGATTACATACTAAGAAAGTAATAACAAATAACATTCCATCACTCGATTAGCGGTTGATTGCATATCCTAACGTTAAACTTATTATTTACTTTGGTTAATGTTATGAAAAGTTTGAATCCACGTACCTTTTAATGAATGATTGTTGCTTCTATATTTATTATAACTACAACGTTGAGTTATCGATATTTCAAAAAAGAGATAGATGACATTTGTAACTAAATCTTTAATAGTTATTATTCACGCTACTTATAGTGAATTGGTCTACCACATATAACTTTGAATTTCTCTTTTATAAATCAACCCAGCAACCACAATACATTAAACGTAACGTTTATGTTAGTGCAGTTTTTCATTAATTTTCATAGCATCAAAATATAATAGCGCTGTTGTTACATGGGGTACGTTTTGACATTGATAATGAACACTGCGAAAATAATAGTATATCTTTCCAACGCATAGAAGTAAATAAAAAAATGACGTTGCACACAGCGTTTGCAGTCAATTTCGAAACGTGACCAATGACGTTATCTACGATATTGGGAAATTACAAATAACATACACGTTCTAAGTAATATTGTGCTATGGATTAATTTAAGAAAAACAATTTATCTTTCCATATACATAAAATAGTTACATGTCAGACTCTGAATAATGTATGTATGAACTTTCAGAAGAGATCGCGGATTTTCGTACAAACTGTTACCGATAACGTTTGAAGCTTTAAAAAACAACACGAAACTACGTGAATACGAGCAAATTTGTTACGAAAATGCTGTATTCAGTTATCTGATACCCAGTGTGCTTCACTTATCTGCATACCTGTATACTGTATACTTATTTCGAATTAAGGAGAATGAGCAACTTCAAAATTTAATGGAAAGAGCATTTTTATTATCATCTAATGCAGTAAATAGGGGCAATCAAAGGAAACTTGTAGGAATTTTATGGCTCTTTATTGGTTTGGGTATAGTGTGGATGATTGTAGCACTTATTACTGTTAATATAATGATGGCTGGAGGCAAAATTTCATTCCAATGGCTTAATCAAAGGTAAAAGATTTATTTATTGGTATATTGAGCCATATTTATTAATTGAAAATAATAATCCTATTAGGTAATGATCTATAGTTGCAATCTTACAGCCCACCACAAATAAAAATACTACTGAAGGTACTTCTAATAATTTGTACATTATGGCATGATATGGTTCAAGGAACTATCATAACAAGTTACTGTCTGCAAGGACAGCTGTTACTTTCTCATCTATACTTTCTTCGTGCAAAATTACTCCAACACACACTGCCTCCTATAGACTGGATGAGAGTGCGTATACTTTTAGTCCTCTTATAATTCACTCTGAACTTGTGTAGTTATATACAATTTTATAATCTTCTGATATTTAGGAGCTTTCGGAGTTCAAGAAACTTCTAAGATATTTTAATAACGATTTTGCTCCAGCAGTATGTATTTATACAGTGGTCAATTTATCATGGGCAGCATCAGGTGTAATATGGCTTTTGAATTATGATAATATTGACATGCAAACCAATTCAGTAACATGTATCGGTGCAATAAATATTTCACTTTGGATACTTATCACCCTGGCACCATTTATACAGGTAGCCCATAAAGTTGAAATAATTAAACATTCTTTAACGAATTCAATTATTCTTTGACTAGGCTGCTAGATTAACAACTGCCTGTTCCATGATACAAACTATTGGGCATGAAGTACGCATACGACCTTTCGTTTATCAAGGGACACCTGGAGAGGATTTGGATACAATATTGTTATACACATCATCATTAAAAATGTGCGCCAAATTGTTCAGGGTGCCTATTACTGGCCGATGTTTATGCCTAATACTTACCATAGGATGTATTACGGTTCTTACGTTAGGCCAATGTCATTTCTTCTCATAATTTATGCAATTAGTCTATTTACAGTTTTATTGCTACACCTATAAAGGAAACCTATATATACTCATTACATTATTCACATATACATATATCAAGTTACAGAAAATATTTTGTTATTCCTGACAGTGAGAGATAATAGAATGGAACTTGTATGATATATCTGCCATAGTCTTCATAACTAATGTATATTACAGAATTATCTAAATTATTTACCAGCATTTAAAAATGACCGCCAACTAAAGTGTTTCGTGATACGTACAGATGTCGCTTGGGAGATACAGCTGATTCTTATAATAATGGCTGCTATAGTGTTAGAATAAAGAACTTGATTGTCACTTGTATACAGTATTTAAGAATTTTGTAAAAATGCCGGCAACAGCAATGCATAAATTCATAACCTTCTGGGGATTCTTATTTATGTTTCATGCTGCTTATTCCGCAGCACAACGTATGTATTTTTCATTAGTCCTATACAATGTCAGAATTTATCATAACCTACCTGTTTTTACAGATCGATCTTATTTACGTATCACTGAACAAGAATTCACCACTCTACCCATTGACGTAAGTTTGTTTAAATAATCTATTATTCATTAAGTATGTAATAATTTAATGCTCTCCTAGATTATTATACAAGGCATTGTTGGCCTATTTATTGTGATGTATGGAGCAATGCACATTGCTGGAGACTTCAAGGAAATCCGTGCTGTGGTAGATTTGGAAAACAAATCTTGGGAAACTTTGAGAAATTTACCGTCGTTTCAAATATTTAATCATCGAGGAAGGTCATTATCACCTGAATATATACCAGCATACTGAAACTACCAATTAAACTATTTTATAAAATATCAAAATAATTCATGCAGCATGAAATAAAAAATAATTATTGTAACTATTTTAAACATGTGTATTTAAAAAAAAAAAAAAAAAAAAAAAAAAAAAAAAAAAAAAAAAAAAAAAAAAAAAAAAAAAAAAAAAAAAACAGTAAATATACTGGCAATTTTTTTCAGCTTTTCAGTTAAAAACGAAGAAAAGTTATAACTTTGCAACCTAGAAAGATCAATCATTTGAATCTGTTTGAATATTAGAAAGTTGTACAGCCACATTAACAATTAATTCACCTAGATTCCATTACATTTATTGTATGAGAAACATTAAAAAAAATGTATAATTAGCAATGCAATTAATTAGTAGCGTCACTACTTCTTCTGCTTCTTCTTCTCAGCTTCCACTTCTTTTTCTTTTTCAATTTCTGTTACATATTCTCCTATTGTGTCAGTGTCCAACATCTGATTAGCAAAGAAAGAGATAATGTAAATCCAACAGTATTACTACTAATAATAATTTATATATACCTGTAGTGGTTGTCCCCGTCGCATTACAGCAATTTCCAAATTTTTTTGACCTGACTGAACAACTTCAAGCAATGCCCGGATTGCCAACTTGATAGAGCCTTTTTCAGTAGCTACTTCATCAGCAGTGTAATACTTCTCTAGGAATTCACGAACTGTTTTCGCATTGCGCCCAGTTGCATTTGCCTGCAAACAGTATCATTATACAATGGAACTATCATATGCTTAATTATTAACTTATTTAACAGAATTACCTTCCACTCATAGTAAATACCAGATGGTTCAGTTTGGTATAAATGAGGTACACCATCATAATCGAAACCAGCCAAGAGGCATGATATTCCAAAAGGTCTCCTACCATTGCTCTGAGTATATTTTTGTTTTAATCCTATAAAATAAACATAATGTATTTGAAAATAATACTAATATAGATTGAACATATTTTCAGATTAGTCCTTCAGTTACCTGCAATATACCTAGTGATATATTCTAACGTTACAGGATCCTCAACAGTCAATTTATGACTCTGGCATTCAATCTGAGCACGATTTATTAGTACTCGGGCATCAGCAGTTAAGCCTATAAAGAATATAATCGAAATAAAAAGTATTTACTATTAACACAAAGACTTAATACTTTAAATGAATACATACCTGCAAAGGCCATAACTACATGATCATCCAAAAGACATATTTTACGGACAGTTCTTTCCTCCTGTAATTTTGCTACAGATTTTTTTTCCACGCCAAGTACAACCACATCGTTACCACGGACGCCAACCTTAAATTCGAAACAGCATAGAATTATTAAGAAACCAATTAGTAAAATATTTATACTTTTTTTTGACAACATGTAATTAACAAAACAACTTTTATAGAAATAGATTTTATGCATTTCATACTCACAATGAAAGTGTCAAAATACAATTTTTGTTAAGGTTAGAAATTAGAATTATATCTTACCGCGGTGGAACCTTTCCTAACAGCTTCTTGGGCATATTCTACTTGCAGTAAATGACCATCAGGTGAAAATACCGTGATAGCTCGGTCATACCGTGCCGATGACATATTTTATTTAATATATCGATACTACTTAATGATCGGGTAAACTAGAAAATGACTCCGCCGTTTTTCCAGTACAAGCAAGTAACATACTAGTCTTCAATACACGAAGAATGACAACGCATAACCCCAAAATGAACACAGTCTTAAACCGACGATAGAGTTTTCATGAAACTGCAAAATTATTTGCTGACCAGTCATTCGCTACTTCCCGTGTGTTCGCAAAGCCACTCTTGCTATTAGAGAAAATACGAAAGAACAATTTGAATTTGTGGATATTGAATTTCACATAAAATATTATGGATTGTCCACCCCTTCATAGTACTTTATACAATCCTAAAGTTTTGTGGTATCAGAATGATTTTGAAGTAGTGATTCGTATAATGTTACAGGATGTAAAGAGTTATTTTATTCGTGTCGAATTGGATGAATTTGTATTTAGGTATGTGTAACCCCAAGTGTTTCTTGGTATATACACGTTACCAGGGACCAGAGACGTTAATAATTTTTATAATTTTATTAATAGAAAATCAGTTTTATATTCCTATGTTTAATTTATAATGTTATTTTCAGTACAATTATCGACGATAAAAAGTATTGCGTATTATTACAACTGTATGGATCCGTAAATGGTGCAGAAACGATTCACTGTAATTTGGGAAGAGAAATCAAGATCAATCTTCAGAAAGCTCATAAATGTAAATACACATATAGTCTTATGAAAATTGTATTGTAGCTTATAGGAGGATGATTTTAGGATATCAAAATATTAAAGTTCATGGGTCATACGTATAAGAAGAACTATTTCACAAAATTACAGTGACAGAAACATGATTATATTAATTTAGAAATTTGACCTGCAACATTCCATTGCCCATACTTTTGCTGATTATTTATTTCTGTCCTTGATTATATATATTATCTAACTATGAAAAAAAGTAATTAATAGTTTATAATCAGTCTTATGTATCCTATACAGTTTAAAGAAATTTATGAAACTCTGATTTTAGATGACAATATTTATTGAATTACGACTATTATTTATGCATGAATATAGTGAAAATGGACAATTCTTTATAATGTTATATTCAATCGTCGAACATTAGTACTAACATTGAAATGATAATACATATAACTTTATAAATATATTTTGAAATGCATGTTGGTACTTAGTTTTTAGGTAATTTTAATGCATTTGCTATTACAGATTTAGCTTGGACACGACTTTATCGTGATATAGTGAAGATTCCACACATAATTCTTGATCCTGATCATGTAGAGCCATCTCACGATATCAAGAAAGAAATATTATCTTTAGGTACTGTTTTATATCAAAAACATTTCTATATAATACTTGGATTGTTAAAATACTACATAATGTAATTTATTATATGTTACAGGATATAAAAAATTGAAAGAAATTAAGAATCAGCCATATAATTTAATGAATATAATGCCTGATGTGCCTTCATCTGATGAAGCAGAGTCTGACGATGAATGTTATGATGCTTTATTTGATTAAAGCAGCATAACAATTGGATTCATAATATAATTTTATACTAATAAAAAACGCAATATTAAATATTGCGCGCAATTATATTAAAGATTTATTGATATATATTTGTACATGTGTAAATCATCTCATACCAAAATTTAATCATGTTACTTTAAAAAAAAAATTAAAGGCATTATATACGCATAGAAAAATGATTTATTATTGTTTGATAATTTAACAACAGAATGTTGCTTGTATCCCTGATATAGGAAAATACAGTAACACATGGTCTACATGTGCTGTTTATTGTAACTATATAAATTCTGCTTCCACATATATGCAAGGGTATAATAGTGCTATTATCCATATCAACGTCTATCAAAATGTTTGGCATTGTTTGTTATTCCGTTACAATAGAATATCCAACAATCACTATTATTTCCATGGAACAGTAGATTCAGTTACGTTACTATTAATCATAACGGTTATAACATATAGTATACAAAATAAAACAAATAATTTGAAGAATCTCGATGATACGCATCTCAAAAATTAAGTACAAAATATTAATGCAAAAATTTGAACTATTTGCTATTTAGCAAATTGATATTATTTTAAATCGATGAATCGCTTAAAATTTATTGTTATTAAACTCAGTATTTCACATTAAGTTCATGACGAAGCGTTATAATCTATAGTATTTGTCATTTTAATATATTGAAACAATATCCTTTATAGCTACTCATACTAGATTAATAGGAATTTTATAAAGCTAATTATTAAATATTTGAAAATAAACTATAAAATCGTTAGATAGTAAATTGATCCTACTTATTGGATTAACCAAAAATTATATTTTGTAATACAATTCTGTTTTGAATTCACATTACTCAAAATTCATACAATATTGAACACTGTTCTGCATTTTACACAGACTACGCTTTGCTTATTTTTCTTTGGTGCAGCTTTATAACTTCAGAAGATAAATACTAATACCCGGACGTACTGTATCGTTCACAATTTTCCTTCGTTGTAATTAATTATACGAATCCCTCAAAAAGCGACTGAGCAGATAGATATTATATTGTTGTACAGCAATTAGAACGAAATAATAGAAAAAGAAACAAAATAAATCAAACTCTAATCGCAATTTTATTTATTGTAGACTGATTGGTTATTTTTATGATATTTTAAAATATTGTTAAACTAACTCATAGTATAAGAAATCTGGATAGTCTCATGCAAGATCTTTTCCTCCTCCTCCTCTAGTATTTCCAAATACTTGTTACACCTATATAAAATTTCTATGATATATCACCACTATGTAAGAAAACATACGATCTTCTTTCTTTTTTATTTTTCATCCCCGAAGGCAGGTGCAGAAAGGGAATCATGTGTTTTGTTGCTTAAATTGGTTTTAAGACTTCCTTTATAGGATTTGTGATGTTACGTGTCTATAAAGTTAAACTCCGATGATTACAGTTGCAATAGTTAGAGGAAAATTGTAATTTGTGAATATAAGAGGAAAGAGGAATATCTATTCCCACTTCGCTTCTTAGCAGAAACCTCAGTTACTGTCCATTATTCGGTCTCGATGTCCTGAAACTATCAGGGTTTAACCGAATTGCAATATATTTCTTTCATTCTTTCTTTCTTATGACTATGAACCCTTTGTCTTATTTGTAAAAATCTATTCTAAGGAAATCTGAATGTTTCGTTCTAAAACCACATTATGTGAAAGGTTATTGAACACTAAACATTTTTATGTTAACATTTATGTACTGAATTTAACAGGTAAACTTTACACTCTGAATACTATTCAGAAATGAGATTCATCTTGTATACATATCTCAGAGCATTTTATTTCTATACAATACAAATAGACAGTTGCAGTATTAATGATTTAATATAGATGTATAAAGTTCCTTTTACATTTTATAGCCTCTCATACGCAGTCTTTACAAAAAAGGTTCAAAATTTTAGAGAGGAAAATCAAAAACAAAATAGTATCTCTGTTATATTCTTTATGTTGACAACAATAAAGAACAACAGTTTTTGATAATAATCTTTCTAATACCATAACATTAGAAAAAGGTATGGAATGTTAATTATCGTAACATAAAAATTATAAAATATTCTGACCTCCAATCAACGCATGCACGATTGGACTAGACACCCGTACCAACGCGAAACATGTTAAAACAAGTGATGATACATGTATTATTCACAAGTAAAGAGAAAACTCTTTTTATGAACAATGTTCCGTGTTAAATGCATTGTCAAAATTATTACTGAGACAATCTACAAATAACAGAATTGACTTATTTAGAAGCTATTCTAAACAATCTATCTACGAGTATATTCCATAAACGAACCATGATTACTGTTATTAAATTTCAGCTAATTGCGTTGGCTATTTTCTATCATTAGCCAATGAAATTCAAAAACCTTAACTATGGTTCAGTCGTGGAATTCACCCCACGTCTATGTCGCTGAGTATAGAATGCGTAAAAAATTTCGCTGTTACACGAGAAGTAAAATAATCTTCAAGAAAAGGTGTTTGTCCATTATCTAATATATAAATACATTATTCTGTTTGATCTCCAATAATTACATTTGATACTTAATTAGTTATACTTATTGCGGATGAATGCATTTTCACTATAAATGCGTAAAGCATATCCTAATACTAATAGTACCATGTATGCTGGAATAATAGCGAGTTACACGTCTTTCTCTTTTTCCCTAATTTTAGAATTCAATATATAATTTGTTCTATTATCATACTACAGTACAATGATCGGTATTGTGAGAGTGTACTGTAATAGGACGAGAATAATTAACAGCCTTCTAACGATAATCTTTGATTAATGTTCTCTACTGTAGATTTCATCTGACGCAATATATCATCTGCGAGATCATCAACGTTCGTGTATCGGACTTTGAAGAAATTAAATATATCCTCTAGGAACTCGTTTACCTGGTCCCGGAAGTAATGGCATGTAGAACGAAGACTTCCTTCGGGACCTAAGAAGCCCCAAACCAGGACCGGTGAGACTTGTTCTGAGATTGAGTAAAAATGTGCTAGGAAGCCACGATCGTATTTCAGCATTTGACGCTTGCCCATGAGAACAGACCAGACAGCTGTGCCGATGGCCTTGAATAAAATTTTCGTTATGACCTCTGTATCTATGATTTGTTAGCCTCTGCATGACTACAAGAAAGGGCTTACTGTTTCTCGGAAGCTTGCAGAAATCCACCTATTCTGAAGTATAGCCTTGATTGATGATGGTGGCTTTTCAATTTCCTCGAATGCATCCAACAGAATGAAGTCTATGAGAACATCATAGAAATTAATGCACTTAACACCACGATTAAATAATTCTTCCTGCATCATAGCATAAGAGTTAGGATTCTGTAGGAACTCCATCATTCTCTCATAGTGGGTCAAGTATTCCTTTGGATCCTGAATAACAAAAAGACACTTATGCTACGATAATCCTCGACTTATTTTTAGAATAAAATATTGTCCTTTGACATGGAGCATACTCTGTCTGCATAAACTATTAGGTCGCTGATGACCTGGCGACCTACGTCCGCTATCCATGAGGCAGCAGCCGACCTACTAAAGAGCCTGGAGAACGCTTCACGCAAACAGTGAACCTTAGCCAAATATTCTACATCTGATCCACACTTCACAAGCTCCGTGTGAAATCTCCTGTAGAAGAGCACAAGAGAGTGAAATTAATTTATGCTGGAGACTATTTAGCAATTATTTCAATTTACCCCGCACCTGCATGGAATTCCTTTGTCTGCGTGCAATTTTAGCGCAGTGTGGTATAATTTTCGTTCCTCGAGGTGAGAAAAGAATTTTGAAAATTCCTCAAACTCGCGTAAGTCTGCCACCTGGAATATAATAAAAAAAATATTTGTAATAAAGATAATAATGATTAATCAGAGCATAGTAATTAAATATAAAATACATACGCCGTCTCTTGCAGACGCAAACGACTCCGGCGACGATGCAACTTCAGCTTTGTCCTTAGCCGATAACCGTGTTCCAGCTGCTGAACGTTTATAACTCTCCTCGCTGACCTCACTCTCATTTCGGAAGAGCACAGAATGCTACATAACCAATGATACAAATATTAACAATATGAGAAACAGTCTCTATGAGAAAGTGCAAACTGCAACTATCATTGCAGAAGTTAATGCAATCAGCTGCCAATGAGGTACTTTCTTCAGGATGCAAGATGACGTTAGACACTTGTTAAGGTTTAAAATGACTCATAATTGGACTAATTGCTAATTCTCGTTACCAGCTAGATTGAATCAGTTAATACATTTTTCTGTTTGCGAAATGATAATTGCTCCAGAGGGCGTAGAGTGCAAAATACTCATTAACATTAAGCGGCACCAGGTTAGTAGCTATTGATGAATATTCGAGTGAATGTTCAATCGTCATTAGAAATAACTAGAATTTGACTGAAGATAATCGTGCAAAACAATGTTTTACCTGATCAATAAATAGGAGCTCAGCATTACTCTGTATTTGATAGCCCAAGTCGAGAAGTTCCTGTACATCATGCGTGAATGCTGCATCGGCCTTGGATGGAAGTGCAAGTGCATCGTTGCTGAGGGATGAACTGAAGGCCGTAAGTGCATCCTCCCAGCAATAAAGGGCCTTCTCAAGTGCCTCCAGCCCTGTACCGTTGATTCACACTGCGTTACACATCCGTTTATTTCTAGAGGTTACCGACGCTCTCGCTGATAGCGAAATTGCTTCAACGATGACACGGTCCATTCGGCCCAATTGTCTTGCGAGTCAACCAGAGACCAGACCAAAAGCTAGTTCATCGGTAACTTCTAAGGACCAAAGTGAACAATGCGCGAACCAATTTCATAAAAAATCTAAAGAGTCTTGTAGTCAATAATTTGAAAATAAACCAATCTGTTGCATGCAACAGATGAGACGATGAATATTCATCAGTATCATTTCTGAGAATATTCTCAGCAACTCATCAGGCTCACTAGACATCTTAAAATGACATCATACATCCATGTCCTTAGATCGTGCCGTTATTTTAAATCATGTCAAAGCCTTGAGCTCCATATTGCAAATGGCTTGACCCTAAAAGATAGAAATCTTCTTATTCGTCATTTAGCAATAACCATGCTAAAATACAGTCTAATAAATTGCATTTAATGACACCGCAATGTTTATTCACAGATTAAAAGAAGTGCCGATGGAAGGTGAAAGACCCTCAAGTATTTCATGGTTTGCGTTTTTAATGATGCGTACTTTCTACGCCAATTACTCTTGCCTACTTCCTCTGCATTTTCTATTTCATAGTTTCTGCAGCATCAGTAACATTTAAACTCTGTACCAATATTACTGTCGCTGTTAGCAAAGCTTAAAATTAAAAAAATGTTCTAACTTAAAGCATTTTTATTTTCAACTGATGAAGAATATCAATGGCATTGACCTACGACAAATTAGCTTTGTAAAAAGAAAAAAGCTGCATTTTAAGAGCTGAAGTGAATTATAGGTTAAATATTGATCAGACGTTCCAACGTAATAGAGTTCACTAGGTCACGTCGGATCAGGTACTGATACATAAAGGGGTACGATTAATTAATTTTTGTCTATGCCTTAATGAATTTATTAAAATGATACTTAAAATTAATAGTTGATTAAAGAAAAAGTATCATTAGATATTAGAAAGTCATACAACGAAAAAATATGTTCTTCTTGTTCGTTGCTGTTTTATTTATTTTTCAACAGGTGTTCTGCGTGAGCGTGGCATAGGCTGTGGGAGTGCGATATTACCAAGCGACCTCTTTAAGGGTTGTGCAACCCCCATAGGCGCCACAGTGTCGCAATAACAGCCCCGTGACCCGTCTGGGTCAGATTGATCGTAAAAGATGCTCTGGCGCCATTTAAAAATCACTATCTTTTTTCTTTGATTATTCTTTTTTTTAAAATTTGATGCATATTATCGACATGTGCCGTCAAATATTCGAAATATACTTAATACAAATTGATAAACGATACGAGTTAAGAAAAAAATTAAAAGTTTTTATGGACAAAAATGTTTCTGATCTTTTTTTAAGTGCCAGATAATTCACCGTTTCAAGAATATTACAAAAAGGAACAAAATTTAAATCAATTTTCGTAATGTTACTTTCACGTATACAGTATTCGTCCATTACTGAAATGCTAAGTAAACTTCTGTATCTTTTATAATAATGCCAATAGAATTACGTAAATAAATCGTGTTCGGATACTTTATCGAAAACATTTTACCAATAATTTTTTATCGAAACGGACATTTGATCGAAAGTTCGAACACAACCACGTATTATTGCTTTACCAGTGCATTTAGAACAATTTCAGAATGCATGCTCTTATGCGTTTTCCCCTCTCTCAAGGCTGGTGTAATGTAGGTCCTCATCGTCGGAGGTTAGGTTCACTTTTAGATTTTTCATTATAATTCAATGGGAGGGAGGCGATTCCTGCATATTCGACCTAACGCAAATAACTCTATAGAGTGATTCCTTTCTTTATTCGCAAAAAATTGTAGTTACATTTTGGGTCATATTATAAATATTTTAATAGGATTTTGATGATTTTCATCGATTTATGGTCAGATGGACTCCGACGGAATAATGTAGACCGCTGTGAAGGGCTTGCCAATAGCTGGAACTCAAATGCTCTAATGAGTTAAGATAACTTTGAATAAACGGTGGTTTAGAAGAAGTTAAGATTGCCCATTGCTTTCTACTTTCTTTTATGAACAATTTTTGTATACCTATGGATGAATACGAAAAATAGCATTAACAAAAAATATGATTGAAAACCCAAGAAAAAGAAGAAATTATAAAAGGGTAAAAAAAATTAAAAAAAAAAAAGAAAACAAATATGAAAAATTGGAGTAAACCAAATAAACGTATGTGCACAACCGACCTAAGATTATTCAAATATGCAAAATGATTCGATAATGGTGATTTAATTGACAATGCTATTTAGATAATATTAGAAAAACAATCCGATTCGATCTACGTGGGCAAAACCGGTTTCTGTTTTTCTTCCAAATACGTAAGAATCGACTACTTCGATGCCCATATTTTGCATCCTTGAAAAAACATCACACAAGTATCCGTGTGAATGGATCCCAGCATTTGGCGTATCTCTAACTCATGCAGCGGCTATGCGTGCTTCTACTAAAGAAAGTTAAAGTAGTCTTTGCCTTTTACGACAATGCCGGATAAAAATTACAAAAACAAACACACCCTATTCTGGCTTTGAGAATGACTTGGTAATTTTCGCGTGTTCCCCAGACATTTCTTAGTGAGTCATGCATGCAGTTATCTTTGTATATAGAATACATCCAATGCATATGCACAAGCACGTATGGATCAGTGCATGCATGCTCATTATCGAGGATGCCATGACAATCGCTAAAGAAAAAGTCAGCAGAGTAGCGAATATCCTCTTGATTACTTCGTGGAATCGTGTATAGTGTAAATATATGAGGCTAAGGTGACGCCGTAAAGGAACATGCAAAATACCGTATGAGTGACGTCATACAGTCAGTTGAAATCTCTCCGAAAACGTGTACATAAATATGCACGTACGTAGGTACTTTAGGACAGATGTTCGCGATTTTTATCATCATCAATGAAATTTAAGAATCAAGTAACTCGTAGGCCGATCATCGAACCAACTCATACCGTATAATTTAATTTTCCCGCGTGCTTCAAGCTACTGCGTGTGTAATCAGAATTTCCGGATGAATCAGCCGATTACCGATCTTTAGAGTTACATAAATCCATTCTTGGAATAAGATCAGGCTATGGATCAAGAATGTATATTCTTAAGGTAGAGAATAGTGGAGGTTAAAAAAAAAGGAGAGGATAGAACGGAAGAGTCCAACGACTCCCGGAAATCCCCCAACGTCATGGCAGGATCAATAGGAAAGTAAGGCCAGACTCTTCCGCACAGTTGACTAGCAACTATCCCCTCGTAAGATACATACATAGACCCCAGGAGCCAAAATCTAATGAATAAAGGAAGGACGTAGTAGTTAGTGAATATAAACCCCTCAGCGTGACACTTTTATAGCTACGTCAAGGGGTGGTTGTGAACAATCATAAATTCGAATAAGTGGGGATAGAAATTTAGAATAAAAATAAGTGGGCTAATGCCGATATTAACCATCATGCGTAAGGATAAATGCTAGGTAGAGATGTAGCTATAAGAAAATACAGTAGTAGGAATATCTTAGGTCCTTGCAATAACCAGCTTCCCCTCACCAACCGGACTCCAAGAAGCAGAGATATATGACCAACTGGTCAGGGTGGGGCGGCGGCAGTAGGAAACTAGTATGGCATAGCTGAAGGGTGGGGATACTACACTACAGGGTAAGATAGAAGTGGTGGGGGCTCGCTGCCGGCTGGTCGGCGTCAATAATACCGAAGTGACGTAATCCTAATGGGGGTACGTTATTGGAGGATGTGTCATCCAATAGGGAGAGGTCGATGCAGCAGCTGGGTGGCGCGCACTCCAAAGACACTGTCGGCGTGGATAGGATCGGATACGGGAGGAAAACGGTTCTACAGTTTTGAGAAACGAATTTAGTAAAACAAAAATTCGTAAGGGAATCGCAGTGTTGACGTATATATTTTCTCATGACAGTGCTTACGACGCCACGTGCTTGGTACCAGACCAGAAACATCAATTCCGGTATCCTGTTAAATCATCAGGATATATCGCATTACGTTCGTGTATACCCGCGTACCCTCTAGTGGGAGCAGAGAAAGGACCTGGACAAACGGGATCGCTCACTCTCGTGTACATTCGGGCCTTGGCGCTGTCGTGTAACCGTGTTTCGAACTCAGTGGCGTTCGCGGTTCTCGTGCGGTAGGAATATTACGTTACGTTACGTTAGCGTGCGCGATACCATTAAGGATTGTTAAGGAAAAATTCATTAATAGCTTTCCTCTTTCCTGCGCTGTCGTCGACTATTGTTGTTCTTATTATTCCTTAGCCATTTCTTCGTTCCCTGCTTTTACCGTCTTTATCAGGCCCGAGGATCTGTGTCTTCAAAACTGAACGTTGTGATATTTGACACGACACAACAGGAACGTGATTAGCTACCGCCGAGCATCGGATTAACTCTTTTCAATCTTCTTATGTGGACAACGTTGCAAACGTAAGTATATATGTCGGGTGTGTCCTACACTCAAGCTCCCTACCCTCGACGGAGATTTTGCCTCGCTATTGTCATTGCGACGACCGTGGGAATTTTTCATTGCCAGCCTTGTGTTCGCTCTCATGGGAATGTGTTAGAAAGAATTTGGACACTATGTCATGTACCGCTTTTATAGGGACACGACTATCGCACAATATGTATAACGTTGCAACGTGTACAGCAGACCAAACTGATGTTTTTAAAATGTCTCGTATTACGTTTGATTCAATATTCTAGGAATTAATTAATGTTTCCATCGATCAAACGATTGTCTGCTTTTAAGTAGGTATAATGAATCCATATGAGATCAAGTGCCAAATAGAAAATTAAAGTTCTCCTATATCACGGAAACACATTTTGAACGGTTATACTGAAGGTTTTATAACTTTCAACTGTTCTGACATAAGATACATCGAAGTTAAGAATTAATCGCGGTGGAATTTACAATAGCGTTTAAGAAGTTGGTAATACCGCCTGTCATGTTTTAACGTTTATTGTAGATATCTGCCAATTATATAACTGCTAAGAATTAAAGTAAGAGAACGTTAACACTAGATTTACCATCTATTTATTCATTTTGACTGGTACTGGTATAAATGTCAATAACAAAAATTATATTTGTTACTAATGTATATAAAATAACATTAAGTTTATAAAATGTATTCTATACTTATAGCTACAAAAGTCATAACATCATTTCTGAAATCAAATGATATATGTAGTAGGAATTTTGAATTGAAATTGCACGACCAGTGAAAATGACTGGTCTGGTAAATCTAGTGTTAAGGATATTCTGTGTACTCGTGATATAAAGCTACCCGACAGACATTCTCTAGTCAAAATAGAAACGAGGTTCACATTCCATATAGATTTCAGAATATAATATACAAAGAAATTAGCAAACACGTTCATAGAGTATAGTCGAAATATAGAAGTATTGCAATTAATAGGCTTACTTAATTGTCCATTTTTAAACGTATTTACCAGACAAAGTCAACCGTGTACCCTTTTAACAAAATTGCTATAGCATCAGGGAAGCAGTACGATATGTTACCCTTTCGGTAATCGTATATATTTAGTATCCGCATGGAGAATTATCCGATATTGATGCGCGTTAATCGAACAGTCGAAGGTCACGAAGCCCTGCAGGTATTTTTAACCCTTGACACTGAATATATAGACTCCTATACTCGCTTTAATACATTCTGAAAAATATTTTTCTGTGTAACTCGGTGATCGAAAATAACTACAGAAATCCATATTTACATTTCCTCTTCATTGCACAATCAATGTTGTATCACTACGCGATACGTATTCGCAATACAAGAAAATATATGATAAAATCTAGGTATGCGGAGTTGCAATATTTTGAAGCGCAAGCATTCATGCATATTACATTGGAACTACGTCTATTCCGAGCAGTTCGCGTTTATTAACATAAATAGCGCTGTTAATGCCATGAGAAAAGAATCTGGCTTGGGGATTCCAGATCCGCAGGTGACCTTGCGTTAAGCGTACGGTTGTACACGTGGAACACGGCAAATGATCAGTGCACGCTCAATTTCCTGGGGGATTGCGCCGCGCGGCGTCGCGACTGTATATAGGGTAGTGTATTCATACACACAGTTACAAAATGCATATACAAGTTCACGCGTGCGATTGAGATTGCGCCAAGTACTTTATGCGCGCCCTGCGCACATTATATGCACATTAATGCAATCAGCTGGTATATGCTGCCACTGCTGGTGGTGGTCCGTTATTAGGTAATAGAAGCCCATTAAGAACGGATCGAGTCATTGAGCCTAATAAAAATGACATGATTATCGTAACCTCGTATTTCATGTAATTTTAAGGTATACGCGTTTTAAAAGTTTACACCTACAATCAAGCGAAAGCGAGTACAGCAGCCGCGAACACTGTTAAAGATGCCTTTTAAAATTTAGCGCTCAGAAAGTCATGAAGTATTTTTTGGTTTTTATTTTTCGTGTTACTCATGTTTTTTGTTAAGTAGTTATTCTATCGACGAACTAAACCTTATACAGTACGGCGAGGGAAAAAATAACAATGGAATCTATTTTCTTCGTACCACGCCCATGACTATCGTGAAAAGTAGATCGGTCGACGGCAGATCGACCTCTAGAAACGTAGAAAAATTGTCTAACAAAGAGAGAAGCTCGCCTGCAACTTCCAGGCTTCTTCATGGTTACTTGCTCGCAGATAAGAATTGCTCAGCGTACTCGTGGTCCGTTACACAGATCAGAAATAACAGTAATACCGTGTTCAGGGCAACCGAGGACGGAGATTTCTTAGACACGGAAAATTATTCTACAATATGATCCGAAACATTTTATTGATTTTTATTGATTAACTATTCGGACGCAAGCCATTTACATGGCTCATAATATAGATACGCAGCCAGGCTTAGATTTGCTCTTAGAACATTAACTTTGTACTCGACAGTTCCCACTCAGGCGCCAAAACATATGAAAAATAGGGAAATCTGAAGTGAAAAGGGTTAATGTTTATCAAATAGAGCTACTATCTCAGACACACTTTGAAATACTATACTATATCTATGTATACCGATACAGAACTTTTTTTTTCAAGCAAATGATTTACAAATAGCAATAAGTTTAATAATTTAAATAAATTCGTATTTTCCATAATTTATTGTTATATGAAATTTTGTTATAGCCGCCATTAAAACAGTCTCGGCCTATTGTAAAAGAATTTATATACAGTCCGATTAAGAGTGTGACATCAATCATCTGGCCCGCTCTCTCTCCGAGTATCGAAGTTTGCTCAGACTAGGTGTGTCAGTTAAAAAAATTACATCAAACAGAATTTGTACCCTGAGGCGATCAGGGAATTGAAAGTATATTTCAGTCAATCTTACGGAAGAAAAGCAAGTGGCCTCAGGAAGCATCTAATGATCGTTTCATAACGACAATAAAATAATGATGGTTTTATCCGAGAACAGCCTTACGTAGGTCAAGGGCCTCCTTCACGTCACCTTTTTTTTTCAAATCTTTTTTCCTGCAATTTAAAATCTTTTCTTTTCATTTTTCACATTATCTTCGAATTCTTTTTTCCACTCATTTGCCTCTCACGGCGGCCCTGAATAACCGTTTTTTAAGGTTGCCGCTTCTCTTGGGCAATTACCACGAACGCAGCTTCCTACACACGCACGTCAATTGTGCCACGTAATTGCGCAATCGTTCGATACCCTGGAGGTGTCGCATGACGTACTCGTGCTAACAACGCGGTGAATACTCCATTGAGTGGCAACGCTCTAAGAGAAGAACTACGGAACGTCTGTACAATAAAAGAATGAAAATAAAAATAAACGTCACGGAGTCTGTTCCACCTGAGATATTTCCAGGCGCGTACACTACAGCGTTCGGTACCCCAGCCTTAATTGTCGTATGAGAAAATAAAGTAGGAAAAAAAAAACAGGAAAGATAGATGAAGAACTCCCTGAAGTTTCATTCCGTGTGTCTGTCTCGCCTCAAGTGTCCGGCTGGTGAAACTTCTAAAGGTCTCCACTCTCACGGAGATAAGCCGACATGCAAATAGCCTCGAACATGAGAACCTAGACGAAAGTACTGTACTCGTCAGCTAGAGAAGACGAGAAGGGAAGTGGAAGAAGAGACAGGAAAAAAGCATTGCATAAATTGTGAAATACGAATACACACTAAAGGAGACCGTTTCAAGTTTCTGAATTTATATCGGAGTTCGAGATTTCTGCATTTTTAATAGGCTCCGATGGTTATACGAAGAGAGATGACCTTTCCGTACATTAATGCTTGTTAATTTACATCTAGCAAGTCTTATTTTCATGAGGCATAAGAGATGTTTACTTGGCTTAACATCCTTTTTTTTTTACAATTCATAGAATCCTTTATAGCTGTTTCAACACGATGCCTTTACTCTTGAATACATTCACGTGCTTAAGTGATGAAGTTGTTAATTTAGCTGGTTCTCCGTGCACTTCAAGGTTTCAATTTATTTTTGGATTCCATGCGAATTTCGAGAGGAATTCTTAAAGAGACCAGAGTCATCAACGGCTTTAAACTTTCTTCGAGTTTCTTTACGTCGAATGTCTCGGATCGATAGTGTTTATTAAATTTACAAGTGGCGTCGTAACTTGACTGAGAAATATTCCCCTTTAACTGTAACATTAGCTCCCTCTCTAAAGCAAGTGCTTCCACAAGTTATCGCTAAAGTGATCCAACGCGATAGTACCAGTAACTTTCCCCGTAGGGTTCAAGGTTCCGGTTCACCATTGGATTTTTCAAAGTCCTTGGCGTGCATGGAAAAGGGGACAAAGACCCTTAGCGGTTACGTCTCTACCACCCTCAGAGTGAAAAAAGAAAACCTCTAGTAGAGCCTCTGGGGGTGAACTATATGTTTCTTCTACCCCATCCGGTAGCCAGCAATATTGTCACTGCGCACGCGTTCGAAGAAAGAGCAGAGTGCTCTTGACTTCAGGTTTCAGGGTGTTATCATGGTAACGCTGTGTACGCTGACATTGCACCGCGCGCTGCAAATCGATATTTCGCTTATTTGGTATGCTGCACCAGGAAGGTTCCATGCCCTATCTGCCATGCACTTTCTGGCCCGGTCATACAGAAGCCTATACGGTATATACGTATATTGCATACTATATTAACACCCTGGTACACCATGTTCTACACTTCACGCGAGAGAATTGTTATAGTTAGGTACTCCCGGAGGTAGTACAAAAACGAATGGCATACTGACGAATTTTTTACGCTTGACGATATCCCGTGAACTGAATGGACTCTTTGTTTGAGGATTACGTACGCACTGCATGCGGTGTAGAATTTCTAGGTTAGACTAAACTTGCAAAGTACGTGAGTAAAACATCGATTATGACAGAGTCGAGATCACGTAAAATTGTTCATTCTTGCTTTGTTCTCGTTTGTCACGTACCTTTGCGACGGCGTGATCTCAATAGAGTGGTGTATAAAAAATAAGGCTACAGAAAGGTCAAGGGTTGCGGGGAGACAATCGATCGACAAAATCTGGGCCATACATCCTGCCTTCTGAGACCCATAATCGTACAAATATCATACGTACGTAAGTACAACTATGTCCTTGTACGTGCATCTCCACTAACATCGCTGGTCTCAATTAAATAAATTCCGGATGGCGTAGTTATAAACCTAACGGCTACTAAGGTCACTAGGTCACAATGGAACGAGAAGTACACAGAATGCGATATGCATGTACCCTCCCTCCCATATATCTATATACAGAACAAATTGGTTGCATCTTTGCCAGAGTGCATTTCCTCCGTCTCAGTATATTATCACGTACAATCTTCGTCATGTCTGTACTTACAATTTCGTTCATTTTTAAATATGTTAGTATTTCAGTTTCGCATATTTCCAGTCGAGATATTTAAATGGAACCAATTGGAGGATAATCCTCATGATGAATAATGAAAATAGCATTGCGGTCGGTTCTGGTGGGGAGTATACATAAAAATATGTGGGGGTTGAAAAGTGCGAAATTTTTATAACGAAAAAACTATCGATTCGATTTCGATGAAACCAATTGCATTTGAAAGTACTAAAAATAGTAGGAGACACATGTTTTTGCGTTTTTCGAAATTGAAGTTATCATTTTGCATTGTAAGTTCATCCCCTTACCGCAATTCTTTAATTCTTTCTATTTCATCATTCGCCTTCACGATGTTTACAAAACGTGCACAATGACTTTATAAAATTTTTTTTTTTTTTTTTCTAATTTTTGAAGATACTTTAGGTTTGGACAATAATAAGTATCCTATAGTGAAGTTTACGTGAAGCTAAAAATTCCACCTTACCAGTATAGTCTGAGATTATCGAATAATATCACACATTCGTACACGACTTCTATTATGTAAACACCTCGATACGGCGAAGGTAAAGAATGACGCAATCTGTACGCTTTGTTCGGGGCAACACGCCCCGAAGAGCAGCCCCGAGAATACGACACAATAGCCCAGAGTTTTTAGTGCGCAAAAGCGTTCAGGAACGCGTTAAACCGGTTGCAAGTAACATTCCGTTATTTGCATGCCTGTCACAGCCATCCGTTTTATCATACCAAACTTGTTGGCGCATCTTATGTATACGTATACGAATACGACATATTTTCGTGGATCTCTCAATGCCTTTTCAGTCCCATCGTTTCGATATGACATTACCCCAAAATAAGAACGAAATATATGAAAAATGCCTGTAAGGGAAACAAAACTAGAAAATCAAGTATTATTATATAACCTGTCACGGTAACTTTTGTTTTGTAGTGCAGTGCGATGCAAGAATAGTCGAATAAACCCCTTGAATTTGAGGAAATCCCTGATTACTAATCAATGCAAGTGGAAAGGGAGCTATAGAAATCGATAGACAATTATCAGCGAACATGCACGAGAAGTGAAGGGAAGAAGAATAGCTATGGAATGGAATAAAAATACAGTTGCAAAGATAGAGCCAATGCCAAAATCAAGTGCATGTTTTACAGCAAAAGAATTTCTAATAAAAAGAAAGAAGAAACTGTTACGGCTAATAGAATTTTAGAAAATGTTTCTTATCATAGACAATAAGTTAAACAGTTCGGGGCATCGTTGCTAAGAAAATTTTTTTGAAAGAACCATGTAAGTTGATCTAGATTATTTTTATCTTTCAAAGCATATAAAAGTTTGTCTCCTAAAATTTCCTTGACAGGAGTTTAGTACACCACTATTAGTTGCATAGGGAAGAGCCCATTATACGCCAAGTGGTTCTTAATGACCTAGCCATCTAGAGTCGAAAGTATACTACGAAATCTCGAAAGGAACATTTTTTTCATTTTTTTCAATTAATCCTTTGCAATTAAGTCTTTAACTAATTACCTCGTAATACGTAATACCAAAAAAATAGCTTCATATTGGTCGAATGAAAAAAAGGGTTAGAGATTGAATGTAATTAAATGGGCAATATTAATATGGTCTACGCAAATAACAGTTTACCTACTTCAGCGTGTATAAATGTCCTTCGCAAATGAATTGAAACTTTACTTGAACGTTCATACGTATTTTTTACAAATGATTATCTACTTTAAGAGGGAAGTATATAAATGCTTTTTACAATGAATATAGAACGATCTTAACATATTCGTGCAGTAACCAGTAATTTGATATATCTCCATCCAAAGAGACTGCCAGGCTTTCATCATTTTTTTTTAAATTTATCAGCAGTCGGGTCATTCAAGATCATAAGAATAGCGCAATAAAAAAAAATATCTCAATTATTTATAGCTTTAAAGGTGTCTCATTGCTTACTTCAAATATTTCGGAGATTAACTAAAAAGTAGTCGATTTTGGAACGTACGCGTTAAGTCTGATAGGAGAAAACGTGCCGGAAACCTGTCTGACAATCAGCTGCTAAGTCCAAGAGCGAACGAACTGAAGCGAGAGTGGAATACATTTATACAGTAAACGCAAGCGGAAATGTACGCCACACCATTATGGATACCTTTCCGGTACAGTACCAAGAATTCATGACCTTCTTGGATCCTGCCATAAGCGAGAAGCCTTTGCAACAGATGGCTCTCGATACAGTCAGTTAAATATTGTCTTTCTCGACCTATACTTTTACTGCACTGAAACATTGAATTATATAGATATATCATACATTGTTATACAGTACTTTGAAAGTGCAGACATGGGTTTTGTTAAACTTTGATTTTTTAATGTCAGGGGATTCGGTTCGTGAGCAAATTAACGATATACACGATTTAGCACGACCTTGTCCGAACAACTATGACAGTATGAGAGTGTAAGTACACAAAGCGGCTCGCAGTAAAATTTCATTCCTATATGGAATTTTCGATGATTGTCTATGTAATTCTAGGGAAATATTTGGATAGCGGGAGAAAGGAGATGTTCGATATTTCCCTAGAGAGTGGCGATTCCCCTATTTTTCAATCCCATAGGAAATCATTCGCTATCCATAGAAATCTAGTATTGCAGAAACAAATGTAGTTCAGAAAACAAGTGATAGCTGCGCAAGAGCACAGTGACTGCATTGTATTTACATACGAAATGAAGCGTAATACATGTATATAGTTTGAATTACTCCGAAAAATAAATTGCCACGTGTCATTGTCAAGGTTATTGCAATAAAGGAAAATAAAGTCGAGTAAGATGACTGGTTTTCAAGGTCCTGGAAAATGACAAAATCGTACTAATTCTAACAATGACGCTGGTGCTGACGATGACAGTGATGCAATGTTACTGTTTATAGTATATGACACTACGAAACTTAAAAAATTTTGTTTTTAACGATGAAATGATATTTTTCATGTCGTTCACTTCGTAGTCATGCTATGTCATTACAAACAATTAATTTCCTCTATTTCTTTGTTTGAATGCCTTCATGAATCATGATTTCTCTCAATGTACATTGGCCCGTCCAAATGTTGCAATCTCTCCGTTTTTTACCTAGCCCATGAGCATAGATCATTCTTTTCTCTCATCATTAAACACGTTACGTGGTTAATCTATGTATATTTCAGTTTAGTGAACGTCAACGCAGGTTCGACGACCGTTATTATCGTCAGTTTCATTTTTAGTTTAAGTGTTTCCTTCTGGCTTGACTTCTGGGTATAATAGCTTTTCCGCTGTGCTCTAGCCAAAGTTGTGATCTTAACGACAGGTATTTTGGCATCGTCGAATGACTTTCGGCTGCGGGAATCACCCAGTCGGTAAAATAAGACTACGCACAGTAAATGAGAGCACTTGAATGCCAGTGAGACAGTATCACACGAGATCGCGTTAATCTAGATAGACGCCAACATATATGCACAATAAATATATTGCGGTCAATCGAACAAGTCGGCAACTTCATGAAATCGGATAGTCAAAACGCTATAATATCTCATCTCGATTTCATGGATATCACTTAACTTGGAGTAGCTACTCGTAGCGGCAGGTCCAAAAGTCAATTAGAGTCCCATCTGTTTGTCAGGTTGAAGTGGAGAAGGTAAAGACTGTCTGACTATTGATAGATCTTTAATAACGAAGAACCTTTGTGTACTGACTTCATCAAGAAATCTAATTTACCTCGCAGATGACTTCGTGCAAAGCCTGTATCCCGACAGCGCTCATCTGCCTACTGTTACTATCAGTAACAGCCGACGAGAGCGTTCATATAATGTCAAAGTACAACCAACTGGTAACATCAAGCACACTAAATTGGTTGCCAATAGCACACTTCGATCCTGCCAAGGAGATTGTTATAGGTGGCTTTGAAGTCTTCCAAGAGAATGAACGTGAGTGTTATCATGGAATCATCAGGAATAATAAAAATAATGATTAACGATTATAAATTGTGGTCTCGTTTGATACTTTCAGATACCAATCAGGCTGAAAAATCTGAACCGAAAGAACGTGTAATATTTGTCTGCCGCGCGATGCACAATGGCGTCTGGGTGACGGGTAGACAAAGACAGGACGAGAAATATTGTAAAGTCTCGTATCTTGGAAATGCACATTCCTACGAGAGATATGACCTCCTAGAAAATGTTGATAGTGCCGCCAGGGTCAGTTGGCAAAATTGGGACAAGTATCATCGGACTCCAGTTGGTGCCGTAGCCATTGGAAGGATGTTTGTTGCGAGACACGTGGTTTCTGATGATGAGAAAAAGGATCAATCGACGACCCCTTACAGATTCACGCACTATATAGGAACTTTCAATAAGAACGAGAAACTGGGCACTATTACGTACTTGAGAGAAGTTAGTATCTGGAACCTGAATGATGGTTCCCGATGATGACGTGCACGTTTATATTTGACAGTAAGATTTATGTAACCCGTGCATTCGTATTCCAGGATGGCACCGAAGGTTCTGTAGAATCTGGTGAGATACTGGTGGAGGCTGAACCGATATCGTACGAGTTGAATGAGGTGAAGTTGAATTTTGGGAGGAAACAACTGATCAAACGCAGTCCGCAAATCCTTGGGAAAACCACGTTGGTCAACGAGGACAATGTTGCCATGAAAGTTGCCGGCGCCATCGGTTACTCCTATAACTATTCTGTTTACTGGGGCCAAGGACACGCTATACTGAAAGGACTAAACACCACCATAACACTTGTCAATGGGACTAGATTTCCTAACATTGCTTGGGGAATTGAAGAGAAAAAACAACTCTCAGATGTGCATCCGTACGTAAACAATACCTGTATTGTTCACAGTCCCTAAGCTATTTAGTGACAAAGTCTGTCCATTGCCTGCGTATACAATATGCGCGTATAAAGTCTATTTAATTAATATCTGTACATAATTAACTAGTCTTTGCTAACTTGTTCATTCTGTCTGTTAACAATAGAGTGGAGATATACCTGCAACCAGGTACAGGTGTGAACGCAACCTTACGGGCAAATTACACGAGTGTGGAAGTGCCGTATTTAGGGAATTTGGTCTCCTATTACGAGAACAAGACCAGCACCCATCGTCGTATTAGTGGAATTCGTCGCGAAGAAAACTTGTTTGACATCAGTCTAGAAGTGGGACCGATTTACTTCCTAAATAATTTGACTCTGGTACCTACGACAGTACCGCCACCTACAACCGAGCCGCCTACTACGACTAAGATAATATCACCGGTAACGATTAACAAGGATCTTTCGAGCAAGGATGATCAGAACAATCTTCCTAATCCCGATGAGAACAGTATCGTTCATCATAAAAATCCCGACAGCGTGAACGTGCAAAGCGACGACGGCGGCCCTCTCTCCTTAAAAAACAATGTAGAAGGAACACGCTCTGGTACGTCTGATCTTAAGGTCTTAACCTCAAACTTCTTATTATTCCTGATAGTAGTTACTCTGAATAGGATCACATGAAGTGTCATTGCTTGATGGCATAATCGATAAGATCGATGACTTTCTAGCTCCCATTAATTGCAATAGTCCTAGAACTGTAAGATACTGTTACTATTAACTACTACTACTATTATTACTGTTACTACTACTACAACTATCTGATGGAATGAAGTCTGAAGAGAAAGAGGAAAAGATTATACAAATTTACGACCGAGATAATGCTAGAGTAATCTGGATCATTAACAACCGCAATAGTAACAGTTTTTGAAAAAGACAAAGTTTGGTTGGCACAACAACAATAAGAAAAGAATAAGTCAAATAATAATATGATATAATGTAATTGATTATTGCCGTTAAGTTCGTGTAGAGATCATATGAGCCGGATAGGAATCTCTTTGGCTATGTAACCGGATTTTAGGCTGCGAGCCGACAATCGTACTCCAGCTTCCGGTGCTGACATATGCTTGCCTTTAATGACGAGAACCTTGATAACTAATTAATATATTCTATAATTAGCAGATTAGGAGGAAATCTATTAATTATGAGCTAGTCTCAAGGAATGTTAAGTACAAGAGATCGCGAGCCAAGTAGAGAAAGTATGTATGTCCGAATTCAATAGCAATTATGAAGGAATAGTAAACGAGGCAAGAGAAGAAGAAAGAAGGAAGAAGTAAGCCAAAAGTAAAGAGATGCAAAACGCAAATAGTTAATTTTATATGTGGATGAGGTTCATTAATTTATCAGTAATCCAATCAATAATAAGACTCCTGAATTCTTTAAAAACAAAATTCGACTCTGACGATTAAAAACTATTACGCCTACACAATAAGCAATGAACCTGCCCGCGGTGTTTAAAGAAGAATTAGAAGCAATTAGCCACATCCTATTCTAATTCAGAGTCTTCAGAATTTCAAAAAAGAAATTATAAAACGAACGAATCGCCGTATGAAGTAAACATGAAGATTTTCTGAAATGTGCAGAAAAAGGTGAGAGATTTAACGTTCATCCTGAAGGGAAAGAATAAAAAAAGAAAGAAAATTTTAAAAAATGATAGTCGAAGAAAAAATTTACAGAAGGAAGAGAAACAAGGAGAAAAATGTAAAAGAAAATGAAAAAGAAATGCGAACTGATACAAGTATGCTATATTTTTGAGATCGCAGTATAATTTTAGATGTTTCTAAGGTTTGTAAAAGTAGTACATAAGTACTGAGCGGATGTAAAGGTTTTTGAAGTGTTTGCAAATTGCCTAACGGTATCGAGATGTCGCATATTGTTTTTCTTATTTCTTTTATGTGTCAGTTTATCATTATCACTATGATCATTTCTATTTATAAATTGCACCCACTGAGGAAAGTCTAATTACTAGTGTTCTTATTATCCTAAATCTAGAGAGAAAAAACATCGCAATAAGTGTTTTAATTTTACTCGGGAGACCAAATGAGTCTCTATATTTATTTTCTTTCATTTCTTCTTTCTTTCTTTCTTTGGGACTGTATCGCCAATCGGTGAACAACAGCGGCGCTAACATTGTATATAAAAATATATTATTCAACTGAACGAGAGCCTTGATCTAGTTGTAATAAATTGTTATATCAATAATAATTATTTAGTTGGGAGACGTGTTTCTTATGGCATGTAATCTTAAAGTACAATTTTCCAATATTCCTTTTTTCTGTTTTTTTTTTTTATGTAAGGATAATCTTGTACGTCAACAATGTAATAATTAACATTTTTACTGCGTTGCGTGATAAAAAACAAACAATAATTGTTTTGAAATCCGTCATTGCTATTTATAGTTTTCCCCATTTTCGTATATCTATATGCATGTATGTATCTATAAGTTTGGCGATATCAATATGTATAAGGTGGCCTCGATAAAAAAAAATTCTCCACAATGAGAAGAAAGGATCATGAGCAATCATGAGAAAAAGAAGCAGATAAAGAGAGAATATAAATACTGAAGATTTTCGATTAATAGAATAACGCTATGTTTAGTGGACAAAGTATAAGTAATTATTGTTATTAAATATTCGTGATGAAGCTTTCAATACAACCTTCACTTCTTTTACAAATAACGCGGTTGCCGTGATATAGAATTAAAATGAAAAGGAGTAAATATATCGCCGAGTAATTTACACATAGATGCTTTATCCTTAAAAGCAACAGAGCTAAAAGGCAGAAAGCTACTCCCACGATCAAACAATAAACAGTATAAAGTCAATGGAGTAGAGCTACTACAATTGTTGCATTATAAGAGGTACAAATATATGGCAAATATATATATATATATAATCTTGTGAAAGGTATACTTTGAGGACACGAAAAATTAAGGGACATTTACGATAGCAAGCTAATGCTTTTTTTTTTTTAATTACTATCTTGGAACATTACAGCATTGGAGTTCTGAGCTAATCTAACCTAGCATTAAAAAAATATAAACAAATTTAAAGTGACAGTACGCTTTACGGTCCTCAAAAGAGCCATTACGCTGGAAATTCTTTGGGGACTGTCTTTAAAATAGCCACTGTGTAAAAGAAATCGTCCCTAAAGTATCCCTTAAAAAAATGTATATATATACGTATAAATACTGGATGTAAAAACTTGTCGAACACCCTTCAAGGAGTATATTCTTCTTTTTTAGGAATAATGCAAATAACTTCGATCCAAAAATGTTGAAGAATTAATAGTTTTTTCATAATAAAAAAAAGTTACATGCTGTTATTCAACAAGTTGGTGTATACACACAGAGTACAATTGAAGATAATTGGAAGAAACAGCTTAAAGAATAAGTACTACATTTAATGAAATTATTAACACTCAATGGATAAATGTAAAATTTGAAATTGCTTATGAACTAATGATTTTGCATGGCCATAAAGTATAACAGATTTGAAATATGATAATGAATCAGTAGATAGTTATTTGTTCTTCCAAAAAGATAGTCTTGAGTCACTTAAAATAATCCCAACTTAATTACAATTTACAATAGTATTGAAATAACCAGTTTGAAAACTTGCTATTCTTTTCTACCAGCATCTTGAAAATGACTAACTGTTTTTTTAATGTGATTAAGAAGCCAACATGGCTATGACTGAAATTATAAGTATCTAAAAATTCTTACTTAAAACAAAAATTATCTGAATAATTAGGACATATCTAATAGACATGTTTCTTTCAATTCTTACCATACCTTTACGTAAAGAATTGACCATTCATATACTATATTCTGTATTTATACATATATGTATATTGGAAAGAACGAAAGCATTTATTTATCTACACACAACACACAAGGTATCATAATCGTATGCTTCTCTAATAATTGTGTATGCGAATACTGTGAAAGAATAAAAAAGTACTACTACGATACTAATACTATGCGCCTGATAATTCGATAAATTAGAAATTCTCTTGGTATTTGTTTATCGTAATACAATGTTCTGCTGCGTTGTACATTATCATGTAAATATAAAGGCAATGTATATATAGAGTATACATGTTGTTCTATAGTTCTTATGACATTCATGTTGGAATCCTCAAAAGTCGTAAGTATTGCAGGTTTGTCAGTGTCATTTTACTAGCTTGTCATAACAGATGAAGCATATGTACAAATATGTTTATGAAATTGTGTATGCTATAATTTTTCCACATAGAAATGTTGTTAATCTTTTATCCACGTGAAATATAGTACTGTTACTCACCAAGGACTCCATACTGTTGGGGCGTTAGCTTTACATCTCCATCTAAGCCACCAGGAACAGATGATAGAAGTGAAGCACGATCACTTACATGACTCCTAGTACTAGCTTCGCTCCTTCTTGCCCATGAAGCCTGCGATACTGCATCTATTTCAACAATCCAGGAATCTTCAATCATTTACAGAAGACTCAAGAAGTAAATATTAAGATTGCTCGTGTTTCCGCGATAATTACCAATATTAGAAGCTTCGGAGTTCATGTATCTCTGTCGTAACTCTCTGATATGTCTACGTGATGACGCTGGGGGATGTCGCCGTCGTCTCTTTAAGAACTGTGCCAGTCCACCAAGCAGCAATGAACCTCCAGTTAAGCAAATTATAAGAATCTATGAATGTCATAAGATTTAAATTAGAAATATTATATTGTGTATGATCTGCATATGCATATACAAGATATCTATGAATCCAATGATAGTCACTAATTAATTATGACCCAAATAAAAGGTCTGTCGTTATTAAAGGTCCCTATTGCCACTTAATTACGCATACTCTTATATAAGATAGTGTAAATAAATTCAGTATAACCTCCTAGCACGCTTGGATATATGATTAATTACCTTCTGTGTTTTGGACAGGCTTATCGAAGGTATAGATATTGCGTAGCGAGCATTAATATTACCAAAAAACTGACGAGCATCATAAAGCGACATTGTATTTTTTAAATAATTCAAATATTGTTCAAGCCGGTCAAGAATTGCAATTAACCCTTTCACAAGGCGCGGTACAAAGCAGTACAAAGTTCCGTCTTGAATCTGTTTACATGAGTCAAAGAAAGTGTAAATTAGTGAAGAATGCCGACTACAGGCTGGCAACTCCCACAATTTTTCGTGGACTTTCGTATAGTTCACTCGACTCTAGACAGAGCAGATGGCGCTGTTGAAGCAAACGTAAACGTTCATTGCACTGAACTTTAATCACGGTCTTACATGCAGGCTTGCGACTCCGATGGTGGGGGGTGACTCACTTTCTGAAGTCGCGCCGTGAACGGCGCTGTGATCGAGTGCTCCTCGTGCGACAGAGATAGAAATAAATATTTCTCTCCCTCTCTCTAATGGCGCGAGTCTACTTTCGAAGTTATGTTGATCGAGCGCATTCGATAGTAGCGACACATAGGCAAGATGCCATACATTACAAAACTGCTTCAATTCTGTCTTACCCCCACCACTGAAATTCCAGAAAGTTTCAAGACCTGTATGAAAGACCGTGACTTTAACCATACTGGAATCCGTACGGCAGTGGTGTAGGCCGCGGAGAGAGAGATAGCAAGAACACATTTGAGTGTGCTAAGAACTAAAAAGTGAGTGCTTTAAAATGGGTAAGTGGTGTGCGGTACCGGGATGTAAAACCGGCAGCAGAACGGCAGAGAAACGTTCCGTATTCCGTGTGCCGAAAGATATTACGACCTGGAAAAAGTGGGAACAAGCAATACCGGGCATCGTAAAGTTGCAGCAGAGTGATATTGTGTGTGAGAAACATTTTAACGAGGAGGATATTGCTCGCGAATGGGTCAAGTACGACGCGAATGGCCGAGTAATTGCGCGAGTAAGTAAAATAAAAAAATTACACATGCAATTTCAAAATATTTGTTTTCAAATAATCTGCTTTTCCATCAAAGGTTTCGTACAAGTATCCACAGCTCAGAAAGCTTGCTGTGCCAACAAGATTTCATGATGGCAAGGAGAACTGTGAGCCATCGCAACTAGATTCTTCCAGTGTTGTTGATCAGAATAATGGTTCAATTGGAGCAATGTTCTCGTTTCCCATGAAATCGCCACTTCAAGAGTTCAGTGTGTACGCTGGTAAGTTTCCTTAAACAGGAAATATTTATTATATTGTTATACAAAGATATGGAATGTAGCTGATTGAGACATACATTTCTTAAGTTTTCATTGCAGATATTAATCGAGTTCCACTCGCTGTTCCAAATACTGGAATGTCATCTTCATCCATGTCAGTATCGAGCTGCGATCATCTGGGAGACAATTCATTGCTTTCTCAGAGGGCTACGAACGCATATTCATCTTTTGAGAATAGGGAACGTAAGTAATACTATTATCATAGCCAAGTGTTGAAAAATAAGAAACAAAAAAATTATTACTATTTTTATTGATCATACTGAAAATGCAAAATGTTACGTATATTTGTCACTGTGAAATTTGTATGAAAAACAGCTCCTGAAAAAAATTCTATATCAAATGACATATATACGTACGATTATTAAAGTTGCAACTCCTGAAAAAGAAATGGTCATTAATACTTACTATTGTAGAAACCTTCAATCTTGACAGAGATGAACGTCTCGTAGCAGATTCGTTGGGACGTTTGGAATATAGCGATCATGCATATGCAAAGCAAATGTCACATGCGCAAAGGAATGTAATTCCAGAAACCAGTACTTCTGCAGGTGAGTCAATAGGAGAAAAAGATCATGCAATCAAATAGAAGCAATATTAAATTTAAGTGGTGACATTGAATGAAATAAAAATTAGCTTAACTTTACCGTAACAGAAATGCCGGAAGAAAATGCGATCACGGACGAGGACTTCTCTGCGTACGTTCCGGAGGAATGGGGTTGGGCGAAGACATCTACTGAAATTGTTCAACGTACGATCTTTACGTACACGATATTGAAGGTGAAGAACGGCAAGCATTGTCCGGTAGCGCAGAAAAGTGTAACACTCGACGTGAACAAAAACTTGCAATATTTCATGTACGGCCGTCACATTGATCCGGAAAACACAAATTTGGAACGAATTTTAAACGGCAAAGAAAAGCTCAAGGATGTACTAGAACGATTTAAGGGGATGAACGTCTGCAGTGGATTAGGCGACATGAGCACTCAATTTGTACAAGCCGGTGAAGCATATGAAGACTACGTCGACAAATGGAGGTGTAACGGCTGCTCTCTGCTGTGCAAGAAGAAGAGATGCGACTCCTGCATTAACGTAAGGAAATGTATTCTGCAACGTACGGCACGGCTAAAGAATCGACCGACGTTGAGTCGAATTGGTGGCGTATCAAACACAGTAGACCGGCGTAAGTTTCAGGCGATGCGAATGAAAATTCGCCGTGAAACTCGTCGGAGATTTCGTGCACAAAATCGCGTGAAACATCTTATGTCCTGTCTGAAAGCACAAGAAACAAAATTGGCAAGACTGAAAGATCCTTCGGTGGACGTGAAATTATCTACGCTGGACATCTCGACGTCACAAAAACTGGTGGTGAAGGAGATTGTCGCCGCGGCAAGGAAAAAAGACGCCAGAAGTCGGCGTTATACCGACGAATGGGTAATGTTATGCATGCTCATGAGCATTCGATCGCCGAAGGACTACGAATTCTTGCGCAAAAACAATATCCTGCCTCTCCCATGTACGAGAACGATACGCAATTATTTCTCGCTAATTAACGCTAAATGTGGGTTCGATGAAGGATTCGCGAGACTCCTCGAGAAAAATCTTCGGAGTCGCAATTGGTAGCAATGAAATCACGCGGCGGTCTGATTCACGCGAATCACCATTTTTTCCATCTCATTCGTCGTGTAGAGGCGTCATTTGCAAAGTATTCCTTTCTCGTTGACGTCTTCGATGTTACCCTCGATGAAGTTCCTAATACGTACTCCTTCACATTTCCCTGTAAAGAGCACGCATCCGATATCCTGTCCTATGCGATAGTATACTATATTAGATTAAGAATGAGGCAAAACGCTCACCAGGAGAATCTGAAACAGACAAAGAAGTTTGTTGTAAAGAAAAAACTCGCCAAATTTACTAACGAATAAGTAGTGTAAATATACTATAGTAGTGGTGTAAATATGTCAAAGCGTCACTATCTGTTTCGAATACCTGCAATTCTGCGAAAATTTGAATAAAATTGATAAAATTGAAAGAATGATTTTTATTTTACCTACCTACGTTTTATAGTGATCGAAAAACAAACCTGTGAAAATTGGAAAAAAGCAATAGTTGACTATCCGTACTTACCTGCATCAAAAACTGGAAACCTGCAAAAACAAATAATAAGAATTTGGAAAAATTGAAACGGAGAAAATAAAAGTTTCAAAATCACTCATGTTTTTCGCATTTGTTTGGATTTAGAATAATTAAGATCTTATTGGGATTATAGGTATATGTATTTCATCACATCGAGTCAGTTTATCGGCATTTACGCTTTTTGCTAGACATAAACTGTTTCGTGTAGCTACTTATAGTCAACATTCCAGCGATGCCATCGTGGAAACCACGAATAGGACAGAAATGGAGTGATCCTCCCGGCCCCCCGCGTCCCTCGTCAATACGATTACCCGATCACAGCGACTCGATGCAGCTATTCGGAATGGCATCGCTAAGCGACCCACCCCCACCACCAGAGTTTCAAGACCTGTATGTAAGACCGTGGGACGGACTATGAATACGGGAGTAGAGTTTGGAACCAGGCTTGAAGTCCGCGACGGCTCTAGTGGCCACAGAGATGAGTAGGGAGATTGCCAATGAGCCTGTTTTTGGTGGTCTCAATTTTTCTCTGGTTTCGGCGCGCCACCTTAGCGGAGGGCCCTCGAAGCAGTTCCACGTTTTTGATTGGTCGTGTATATATAGTAATACTACGCGTGATAATCTGGAGCTGTGTTTTGGCGCGTCGACGCGCCACCTGAACCATATCCAGCGACTTGTTTTCCCCTAGGTTGTATCCGTCTAGGGAATATAGTTTGGATTGTTTAGTTTAGTTTAAAGAGAAAATGAGCGCCAACAAGGCGGACGTTGTTCTTTGCGTAGAAAAGAAATAAAGAACTTGTGATATATTCAGACCTGGCGTTCCGACTCGACCAATTCTAAAGAAAAACATATCCTGGATTGTCGTCAATCAACAAATAGGCTATTCTCCTTCTAGCAGTATAAGTTCTGTATTGCTAGAATAGGCTATTCCCCTTCCAGGAGCATAAATTCTATGTTCAGAACCATCGTGTAAACGTAGTTATACAAACTTCTTTCATCGCAAAACAAGACTCATTTGTGTAAGTGATAAAGTTCCCCACCCCCCTCCCAGATGTTTACCTACCAATAAAAAGAACACATTCTAACGCTCTTGTTTTATAAACAGTATGTTCAAAAATTTGATTCTTGTACTTTAAAGTGTGGGTCTATTTCTGTCGAACACGCGTTGGTGAACAGGGGATCGATTGTGTAATTCAAATGTAGTGAAAATACGAAAAGTGAATAGCTGTTAACCAATCGTTGTCTTTGTCTTCTTTTGAATCTAACACGCGAGTGGCGTGTAATAACTATTCATTTTTCGTATTTTCACTACTTTGATTAGCACAATTGATCCCGAGAGATAGAATAATACTTTTGCAAATGATAGTAGATTTTGGAACACACGCGAGGATCCAGATTGCTCCTATCTGGGAGTTTCAAATTACTTGGTGCTGGTATTTGATCCGATCCCTCATTGGAGAAATACAGCCACTAAGGGATAAAGAAGAATTTAACATTTCTTTAAACGCAAGTATATGCAGTTATTTATGATTTCGAAGCAAAACTATATTTACAGAAAAAAGTCTATATATATAGAGATCTATATGCTGCTTTATTATTGAAATTATAATTTTTTTTCTAAGTGAATATAGTCGCTTCATTCTTTGTTTCAAAATGTGTACATGAACATCATTCGTATCTTCTGCACGTTGAAATTATATTTAAACTAATTTAGTACGGTTAGGGATATACATGATGTAAAAATTGTGGATTATTAAAAATTATTGCACGTATTACAGTTTTTTCACGATGTCCATGAGTTCAAAAAAGAGTTCAGGAGGTAAATATTCAATTACTCTGACATGAATATAATTACATTATAAGTTGATATTTAAATTATTAACACTTTATATATATGATTGTGTATATCTATGATATCAAGATATCTATGAATCCAATGATAGTCACTAATTAATTATGACCCAAATAAAAGGTCTGTCGTTATTAAAGGTCCCTATTGCCACTTAATTACGCATACTCTTATATAAGATGTACAAAATGTGTACATGAACATCATTCGTATCTTCTGCACGTTGAAATTATATTTAAACTAATATGTATTTGAGTTTCTGTTATTATCTTGCAACAATAAATTTGTGTTGCACATATATTATTAAACACTGCAAACTCTAGTTTTTAATGCATTTACTATATTTCTTTTCAGAGTCTATCATCCCAGATAGTGCAGTTGTAGTGAAAGTGACCAGTGTAATAAGTCCATTTCATATACGAATATATCAAAAGGAAAGTTATTCTAAAAAACTTGATGAATTATCAGGAAAAATACAAAAATACATGAAAAGAAAGAAATTTGATGATAGTTCTACACATACTGAGGTCCATTTACTGGATGTAAGTAAAAATCTAAAAGCAAATATAAAATCATTTTTTATTGTTGGTACAAGTAATATTAAGTTGATCATACCTACGATTTATTCCCCAGCCTGTAATTGTACGTACTAAAATTGATAAGGATGTACACTCACCAGCATGGTGGTGTCGAGGAATTATTACAAATCCATCAGATGTTGAAAATATACAGTACAATGTGTTCTTACCAGATTATGGTATATCATTGGTTTTACCATCTGATAATTGTGTTGTTACACCACGGCATACATTTAGTGATGAATACTTGACATTCTCAGTTGGTCTACATAATGTTATTCCAGCTGTAACGGAATTGACTGTTAAAGATGATCAGCAAATTACTTTAATGTAGGTGTCTTTGGTCTTTATAGTTACAAGAAAACTATATATAAAATTTTTTTTCCAAAGCCTACAGAGTGAATGGAGTGCAGCAGCTATTCAATTCACCAAAGACTTACTGGTTGCATCCCAATGTATATATTTTGATTCTTGTGCTTTTGATGGGGAAAATAAACAATACGGAGAATTCTATCTACTCATAGATGACGAAATTATTTCTCTTAGTGAAACATTGGTATCTAATCTATTTGCAGTATACTTAGATAATGGTAAGTAATGCTTCTTAGTATTGTAATAACCAATGTAAATTATAAGTGGTTTATAATCCTTGCATTTGCAGATCTTTTAAGAGTAATTGATGATCCAAAATATAATGATAAGTCTCAAATTGTGCACTTTGACAATGGGAACATAGAAATTTATAAAAAAACCGATGCAAATGTAATTAATGGTAAACCAAATTTGAAAACACACAATAAACATAAGAGAATTTTCAGGAATACTATTGAAAAGGACTTACAGAAAATTTTAATTAAAAGTAATGTTAAATGCGCCCAATTTAAAGCAGTGGCAGATGCCAGATTTGCTTTTGGAATACATCAGGTACACACTCATCATTAAGTACGCGTACATATAGAATTATGTTTTAAATATTGTTTTCTTTGAATTTTACTAGGTGTTAAATTCTAAGTATATTACCAGACCTAAGCTGATACAATCCTACATATGGCCGGCTATCGCAAAAGGCTTAAATGTAGTAGCAATTAGTCCACCTGATTCGGGGAAAACTTTGGGATACGTATTGCCTATAGCAAGTATAATAGCATCTTATGAAACGGTAATAATCATGATACAATTTAATACAGTATTTATCAAAACTTAAGTAACAAAATCTTTTTTCTCAGTTACCAAAAGGAACTGAACCATTAGCATTAATTTTATGCTCATCTTCATCGGAAGTTTTTTGTGCACGTGCATTATTTATGGAATACTTGCAGCATTATCAAAATGTTAAAGTACTTGCAGGTTCTCATGGAATATCCGACAAATCATTTGCGGTAATGTATAACAAAATAAAAAGAAAATAATTATGTCATTATGTATTTTGGAATAATACTAATTACTGTGTTTAATTTTATTCCTCAACAATAGGCTCAAGTTTATAACGGTTGTCACATATTAGTGGCGACGCCGCCATTCTTGGCTCGATTTCTAACTCGAAACAGAAAAATATTGAAATTTCACAAACTCTGTCATCTAGTTCTTGATGGGGCTGATATTATTCTAGATAAACACTTCACTTCGGTAATTGATTTAAATATATTAAAGGATTATAATAAAGAACAACAACAAAGACACAAATTTCATACCAGGAGCAATGCTTGCTTACTAAATAAGTTACATAATTGTATTGCAGTTAGGGGAATTGTTCAAGATACATGACGTCATACACAATAGAGATCGACATGATCTAGATACGCCACTTCTACAAATTGTCACTGTGTCTAGACACTGGACTTCAATTTTGAGAAAATTCGTCATGACTTCGATGGATGATCCTTACACGTGTATAGGATCATTCATGGAAGCCGCCGTGTACGCCGGCATTAAGCCGACGCTTTGTATGATAAAATTACAAAATAAGACTCTTAAAGTATTACGTAAGATATTAGTAAACTTATTATTCTTGAAGACGAAAAGATGTATTTAAGCAATATTAATTCATGTCATGCTTTCAGAATATATTGGTGATCAGCCTATAGTGCGGAGAACCATGATAATCTGCAATGATACAGACGAGGTGATAAAACTTGACGAATTTTTACAGAAGCATTCTTTAACAACTTTATTAGCTCACGGGAATATGACTGGTTTTCAATTGGATGGTAAAAATCACTTTACATATTTTAATAGGCGAAACATTAAGGAACAAAATGTTATGACATTTTTCAGGCATTAAGGAACTTTGGAACATCAGTATACCAGGACGTTATCCAATTTTAATATGCACTGACGAAGTACTACCGGATTTAGAGATATCAAATATACAACATCTGATACACTATTCAATACCGAGAAGTACGAAATCTAAATTTTACTATAGATTCTCGACTTTAATGGATAACTGGAAAACAGTAAGTGTACTCGTAATAATATGGATCTGCCCGATTTTTTATACGAAGTATTTATTTTAATAATTTCTTTTTGTGTCACAGTCGTCAGGAAATTCCACTTGTGAATTGATTATTCTCTTAGACGAGACTAGCGAGTTACAGATTTCGGGAGTCGTAGATACTATGGAAAAATTAGGCATGAAAGTATCGGTTGACCTGAGAAATACGGTAGAGGTGAGGCCCAATTGCTTGCAATGATTAATTAATAGTTAATTCAACTCTTAATTAATTGAAGCGTAATTTATTCATAGCGCGTCGCCTACTTTCTTGATATGCAGAAGAAGGAATATGCGATCTGCGAATTTATTAAATCATTAGGTTCCTGTCCAAAAAAAAATTCTTGCCGCTACAGACACTGCGTGCTGAGAGAGACTGATGTGCCTACGACAGAAATTAGCATGTGAGTTATTATTTGTTTTATTGGTTATTTCTTATTAGTTAATTTATTAATAATTACTACTTGTAAATTCGTCCCCAGAGGCGATACTGCCAAGTTATTACTAACGTACCAACACGATGCAACACATTATTCAGCTAGAATATTGGAGTACATCAAAGCTGAAAATTCTGAAACAGTTGTCTGTTCGATTGAAAAGCATACGGAATTGTACTCAAAGATCCAAAAATATTATTCGAAACGTGATAACAGGTTTACCTCTTATTGCCTGTATTCATTTCTTTTGACGAAGTTCGTTAGTAAATAAAAAATTCATCAATTAAAATGGATAACTTATTGCAGGAGAATAAGCCGAACTATAAACGTAGGTGGGATCTACACTTTGGAACATACTGTAGACAGTTTCCAACGTGTTCAAATTTTGGACATAGTTGAGAAAGATAAGGAAGACATGCCTAATGTGGCGAGTGTTCGGTGTATTGATAGCGGTGAAAGAATATCAAGAGTTCGCGTGAGTGGTGTAAAAGGGATAATTATTGAAGTATCAGAATTTAGTTTTTACATTTAATTTTTTGTTTAACAGGTATCCCGCTTGTTAGAAATACCCGAAGAGTTAGAAATATGGTCAAGCAATATAGTGGAAGTTTTCATAACTAATCTTGCTCCATTCGATCTGGAGTATGTCTGGAATCGGCATGCCGAAAATATGGTTCATAAATGGCTGAAAGAATATTTAAATTCTACTTCTTACGCGTGTGGAAAGGTTGTTACTCAGTCTTCAACTTGTCAATATCATTTCCGTATTCAAAATAACGTATGCAAGTTAACCATAGTCTATCGAATGATAAAATTTAACATTAAAATCAAAAGAACATGGCTTTTTCAACATACATATATTTTATTTATCAGTTAAATCTATACATACATGCTCGTGTATATAAGCATGTGAATGGACACATGCAACAAGAATTCACTACTCCTACCCCCTTGCTCATTAATGTTTTATTATTCATGATATTCATCTCATTTAGGTGCAATTATGTTTGGGAAATACCATCTGGCTGAATACGCTGGAAATTCGTACTAAACTTATTGGCTATCCTGATTTGGTTTGTTCAAATCTGAAGACTGTTTTACTAGAAGAACAACAAGCTCTCGAAAACAATAATCACCTTCACAGTTTATACGCGCTATGTAAAGCTGGAGGATTGACGAGTATTAACGGTAAAAAATTACCGTGGACTGAACAGGTAAATTAATCTGATATCTCCGCAAGGTCTGTCTTTATACAGTAATTATAACATGAAATGCTTTATTCATTATGGAAAGAAAATAAAAGAACAATTTTGTATTTCTTGTTTTTCTATTAATAAAAAAATGTATTTTCTATGTACACTGTAGCCTCAAAATATTTAACACCATTAGTAGTTTATACTTTTGAACTTTGTACAATAATGGATGTCCACTAATGTTCATACTCATCGTAATGTTAGTTGAATAAAACACATGTTTCACAGTTTGGTTCAATTCGAAATACCATCCTCCTCTTTCGCCGATTTAAGTTGCTCTTCCGGTATTCTCATACTTTTATGTTTCTGGATATAATCCTCTATTTCTGCGTTCGATTTGCACAATACTCTTAAATTCGTTGGTTTCATCTTTAGCAGTTCCAATTCGATATACCGATTTAATATTGTTTTGTAGCCAAAATATAAAAGTCGTGGGGTTTGCATTAAATGCTCAGGTTTATATTCCTTATCAAACAAGAATTGAATAACATTTTTCAACTTCCATGGATCCATTTTATAAATGGCTGGATTCCTGTCGACGAAGTCTTCTGCATCCTGTTTGCTACACTGTAATTTTGCTGCGAGAAAATCTATGATGTTTGTATATGGTTCTAGTGCTTTGTGACGCTGTGTATTTCTTCTAAAAATCCTATACAAAAATTATTAATAGTAACTAATGTAATAATTACGATGTTTTGATCATTAAAGTTTACGAACAGTAAGAACTTACTCATTCAATGCACTTTCAGGACAGCGTACTACCCATGGCTTTATTGGGTTCACTCCAGCTTCAATAGCCTTTTTAACTCGCATCAATACAGTGTTTTCTTTGTATCTGAATACCCACAAATCATTCAATATATTTTCTGCTGTTACACCATGTCCTAAAACATTTTAAAGCATGAAGAATATAGTTCCCTGCATCGAAGATGTATGTCATTTCTATTTTGTGTTATTACATACCAATTAGAATATCTGTAATACCCTTTATTCTTTGAAAAGGTATTTTAAGTAAATATTTATGTTTCATAAGTATATTACACATAGTTGTTAAGGGACACTGAAACAAAAAATATAATTTTTAATCTCATGATATTGTTTAATGTACAAATTTAATTATACGGATTATACTGGTACCTGCAATTTTTCAGATAAGTAATGTATCCTGGAAATATTTGGTACCTCATTATCCTCTATTTTCATAAGGGTAACAAGAGTTCTAAGTTCTTTGATCTTCAAGTTAAAGAAAGGTATTGCATGTTTTAGTTCTAATGGTAACAGTTGAATATATCTAGCTTTGACCTTAATGACCTCTTTCGTGTCAGCAAGCAACCAAATATTGTTCTTGATACTCTGATATTGAATTCCAATTGCAGATAATGTTTCATAGTTCTGCATTATTTCTAAGCATGGTAGTTTCTGTAGTGCAGGGTACATGTGGACTGCACGTAATGCAGTACTTTCATTAATTCTAAGTAACTGCATTAGGGTTTTACATCCTATATGAATACTAGATTTAGACTCCTGAAGGAATTCATTGTAATCTTTGACTTCAGGTATAGCATTGACGTTTGAACATCCACTGTCATTAGAAGAATACTCATTGAATTTGCATGAGGATACTGATACCATGAAGTTCTTCCTGATATAATTTTTTGTTGGCAAAAAAAAGGATTTGCCATATGTTAAACCAATTTTTGTGATTGATGCTAAGTGTCTTGACATTATTGAATTATGCCATGAACAAACACCACATAATTTAATATCTCGATTATGCGGAAATATTCATTCGTACCTTAAAATATAATGTCATGTATATATGTTCATAAAAATTTGGAGGTTATAAGTTCATACTTCTTATTTCAATTCTGTCATTGAAAGTGGTAGATACCCAGTAATGTCCAGCCACAAGCAAGTTCAATATAGCGAAATATACTATAATATCGATTGGCTACCTTCTTTTCGTTCTTGCTTTATTCTTAATATACTATTATTGGCACTGTACAAATTAGCCAAAGCTAGTGCAACCCACAGACCACTCATTGGAGACACGGCACTCCCGTGCTTTAGACTGTTAGCACGAGCAGCAACGCCATCTAATCGATAGGTTGTATAAGTAACGTGATATATATAGGTATACCCCTGTATATATAGATATACAGGGGTATATATAGATTGTGACGTACTGGGCCTCGAAAAAGGGCCCAGGGTCTCGCAAATGCAGCTATCTCAAAACTACGGGAGAGGGGGAGGGAATCGAAGAAAGGGGACACGATGTAGAATAGAAAGAATATAATTAATAATGAAAATGCCAATACAAAGAAAAGAATAGAAACGAAAAAGATACTCAAACAGAAACTAGAATGGTCGCAACGTAATAACGCAAAAGACTGAACGCTAGACTAACACGCAACCAAAACAATACACGCGGGTGCTCGCTCGGGAGCACGCGGTGTCAGAAGGGACCTTTAAACGGGCTAGTGGGCGAGGGGACTCAGGGGGCGGGGGAGCAGGGTATTGGCAAGGGGGCAGGAGGGACAGGAGGGAGAAAACAACAACTGGGCGCCAGCTACTTGTTCGGCGTAGCACCGTCGAGTGACCTCAGAAGGTCCTCGAATATTTACACAAACTCGAAATGGCACGGCTAGCAGGGGAAGAGGTGAGGGGGTCTCAGGGAGGAAGGTTCCTGAACGCAAAATGGCTGATATAGAGGCGTGTATATATAGGTATACACGTGTATATATAGATGTACACATGTATTTATACTCACCGTTCTATACGCATCACCCTGAAAGTTTTCTAAGGTATTTTTAAAAGCATCTGCAATTATGAAAAACAAGTATAACCCTCGTAATCTTAAAACATTAATATGTGGTGCAAAAGAAAATATGCACAATTAATATGGTCAAACGATCGGGTCTCATTTTATAAAAGTTATAAAAGTTATTTATTGAATAAAGATACGATCTGTTACTACAGTCGCACTTATAGTAACACTTACATTAAAATCATTAGCAGACGCAATGATGGTACTACATTTTTCCTTAGTATTGCCTTAGCCGTGCGAGGTACATAGTCTTTCAAGGAAAAATGTAGTTTACACAAATGATAATTTTTATTTAAAAGCTATGAATCGATATGCCTCAGCATGGGGTTGCACATTGCTTCTACCCAGACCTTCGATAGCTCCAAGTCTTTTGGGAAGCAATGAGATCCCACTTGTAGATGTGATGCGAAGCGTAGATGCGAAGCCGTCGCCGAATCGGAAGACAGTGACGCACAGGGACTTGTTTACACAACAAACTTATTTTCTGCAAAATGGCGACTGCGCATTGATGCGCATGCGCACGCCACCGCTGCGCCATCTGATCGGTAGGTTGTATAAGTATTCTATACTTTACTATAGCCCATTTGGAGTGTCACCCCCCTGATAGTACTGGACTGTTCACTGTTGCCTCAGAAAGTGTAACCGGGAATAGAAAGAGAGAGCAAATCGTAAGGACAATTCTGTCCTTTTCTATCATTTTTCTATTGGTCGAAATTTTTCTGGATGGAAGTGGTTCAGGACTGTAATAGGCAAAATAAGAACCATGTGAAAGATTATTCCGTACATCTAGAATATACGTTGTTACAGTCGAATCTTGGAGACAGAAGTGTTTATACAAATTTAATATTACTTTAAAAAAATGGTGATTCGCTGTCTTAAGTGTGGGCTATCGCGAGACCTGTATTTTGAGCCCAATACGATACGCTTTCACAAGTAAGTAAAGTAGAAATATAACCTTAAATTTTATAGTTAACATAAAATTAAATCAATTCTTAAACTTATAAAATATATTAATAAAGTTCATCATAAAACATTCATTTTATTGTGCGAGGTTCCCTTATTCCTGATTCCGCTCCTGCCCAAGAGAAGGACAGAACGGTCCTGACGATTCGCTCTCTCTTTCTATTCTCGGTTACACTTTCTGCGACTACAGTGAGCAGTCCAGTACTATATGTCGATGTTACAGACGTAATTTCCTCATCCTGTGACATATGAAAAATATGCTTTTTCGTTTTCAGCCACAAGTTAAAATAATTGTGGAATACCTTTTGAGATATAAAAAATTTGATTGATGGAGATAATCAACCAATAAAATGGTTATATTTATATAATCTTCATGATTTACAACAATATGAAGGTATCCATTTAGGGAATAAATTATAAAGTGCATACATCAACTGTAGAAAATAAAAAAAGGAAATTCGACTAGCGGTTCAAATTTTTAAAAAATCTGTTTCGGATTCTCTCTTATTTTCTAAGAATACTTTAATGTTAAAAGAATTCAGAGGGTGCGACGGAACAAGAAAAGTTTTGTTAATTTTTAATGATATATTTGATACATTATATTCAAAAACCATGTAACATTACATTCAAGCAGGTTTTAAGTTACCAAAATATGGATATGATAATGGGTAAATTTGACAAAGTTAAGGAAAAAAAGAAAATGGTAAACTATTAATTCATTCGTGACCAAAAACTGATTTTTAAAGGTTTCTCGTTTGTATTGAATGTGCGTTAACATTGATTAAATAATTTTGCAAGGAAAATACTTATTTAAGATATATTCCCTTTTATAAATTGAGTCAAGATCATGTAGAATCACTATTTGGATGTATTATACATCACTGCGGAGAAAGTAATAATTATACTGTGAAGCAATTTAAAGCCGCTATGAAAAAGATTTGGGTTCACGCAGATGTACGTAATTCAAAGACTGGCAATTTCAGTTCCTTAGAAGAAATATCAACTTTACACTTATCATCTGCTGGTAAAATAAGAAATTCTGAAGCTATAAATTCCACATCACGATTATTACAATTATATGATAAGTCGAGTGAAAACTATAACAATAATATTCAAGTATTTAGTAATTTAGCTGACGTTATTACTCTTTGTCGAAAATATAAAACAGAAATTTAATGCGCTATTCATACCAAAAAGACGTTTATAATTCGAAAATTACATCAACTCAAGTTTTGAAACAATTTATTATCGATTTATTAGAAAATATAAATGAACATACTGAGGTGTTTCACGATTGTGGAGGAGTTGGAATTGCAAAACTTTTGCAAGGGTTTGTGCACTGGGTAGGCGTCTTGATAGGAAACAACACTTGACAAAAGTAATGTCGATATGTTGTTTCATAAGTTACATGCTAGAAAGTCATTTAATTGCTACCTTACTCTCTCACAAACTTATAACTGTATACAGTGTTTATTATTGTAAGGCAAGAGACGAGCATTCGTCACATATAAGTGTATGTATCTATCTTTTCCCTATTTTAGTCTCTAAGAGAAGAAAAGACAATTACAATACAGCAGATTGCACAATGCTTCCGGTGACTGTAGACCAGCTAATGAAAGAAATGATAATGGTTCAGAACCCACAAATGATCACAATGATCCCTTTTGCTGAACTTATTAGCTTTGGGAGGGTTTTAACTCGGACAGCTACTAATTACGATGACGTTGGGAGCTGAGTCTTTCTGGTGGGTTAGTGAGGTGAATTTGTACTCCTGATAGTTCTATTACAATAACTTCACTGCAGGATGATGCACAGATCTTTTTGCTGCCCTTCCTGATACTAAGGGGCGTCACAATGATTCCTTAGACCTGGTAAGGACTGTGGGGAGCTCAGACAGTTACTAATCACAATGACGTTAGAAGCTGAGCTTTTTAAGGATATGTGTTTGGTGCTTGGTCGATTTCTGACAGCCTTGGCACCATGAATTTGCTGCAGAAGATCAACAAGGATGGCAGGTTTCCTGATACAGAGATGAGAGACAATGCTCTCTGATTGTGAGACCAAGAGTTGCCAAGGACGAGCTCCCACAGTTTGCCGTACAATACCGTTCACTGGTTTTCTCGGGAGTGCCGGATGGTTTTCCCTAATTGATTTTCGGAGATTATCATTGTTAAGACTTTATTGCTCCTTGTCATCTTTCGGTATACGTTTGTTGTTCTGACTGAATCTGACCACAAATCTAATAACGAATGAATCCCTGTGGAGGAACCCACTGCTTGTATTCTCTAATAATCTCACCAATGGAATACGCACGGTATTACCTACGTTGAAAACTTCTTGAGTAACTTAGTAAGAATTAATATAAGTCAACTAATTGTAAGATATTTCCGACTTAAGGTAGCTATACTGCTTCACCCTAGTCAAATCAGTGCTAAATTTTTAATAACGTTTTTACAATTTCTAGTGGCCTAATTAACAGTTTCGAGGAATTACTCACGTAACAGCATAAGTTCTTAATATATAAGTACATTCGCAGCCGTGATTCGAATAGAAAATCAAATATTATATCCAAATGTTCGATGTCATATTTTGTCGTGCAGTTTTTTAAAAGAATCAACCATAATAATAGTCCAATTATGACGAGCAATATCTTATTTGGATTATTGAGAAATCTTTAATCCATTGACCATCGAGATTTTGTATAATATTATAGTTGTATAATATTAATATTGTGGTTGTTCAAAAGTTACAGTTACTTGTATGCCTGACATTAGGTTAGGGTAGGTAATCTAACGGTTGTATCTTTTGATCTACTAATATTATCTAAAGTCTAGATCGCCAATCGATTAAGAATCTTCCAATAATCAAAATGAGATATTGCTCGGCATAATTGGACTATTATTATGGTTCATTCTTTTGAAAAACTGCACGAAAAAACATAACATCGGACATTTACATATATCAGTCGGCTTTCTGTTTGAATCATGGCTGTGAATGTATTTATATATTAAGAACTAATGCTGTTACGTGAGTAACTCCGCGGAACTATTAATTAAACCACCAGAAATTGTAAAAACGTTATTAAAAATTTAGCACTGATTTGACTAGTGTGAAGCGGTATAGCTATCTTAACAGTTTTTGATTTCGTGTCGAATCTGGTTCTCACATTTGTTTTTCCTACATTTTTTTTTGATTTTGTTTTTCTGTTATTCTTTTTTCATCTTTTTCTCAAACTCCGCTTGATCGTTGTTTTTGTGCCATTGACAGTAATGAAGCGAGTTATGCACCACAGCAGTGTCAGTTTCTCGGTTTTATTGTC